AATAGCACTTATTAAATATAGAAAAAAAATCATATTATAAACCAAAAAACATCAAAAATTGCTTGAAGTTATCTTTGAATTTCTCTTAGCCACAACAATATTATTTAACAAAATTTATGCCAGATTAATGACTATTTCTTAAGGAAAAAAGTTATTATAATTTTAAAGCATAAATTTATTATATTATTTCAATAAAAACGATAAATGTAAACGCAAAATCACTACAAAAGACGATGCAGCGGCCGTCTGAGCTCAGTACCGCGCAAAGATTACAATATTATACGTACCGCGCGAACGCTCCTCAACGTTGGACCTGTATCGCATTACTTCGCGCCATTTTCGATCTAGCTACGTTCGAGCGAGCGTTAATAGAGCAGTATAGTGGGACTTCCAAATTTGATCACGAAATTCGATTTATATGGAATTTATATAGCTTGTTGAATTATTTCTAATAAACATTCGTTATTGTCAGCATGAGTCGGAAGACCCCTAGGTATAATTGTATAAGAAAGTTAAAATATATATTTATGTTAAGATACGCAAATAAAGCAAGGTACTTCTTCCTCAATACACTTATACTAGTACATAAAAATTGGAGTGCATATTTGTAATATTAAAATAACCGCTTTTCACTAAATACATTTGTGTGTATACACGGTACATACAGGAATTTTTTTTTCAGTATCAGTAATAGAACACATTTCCATAATTAGTTTAATTTTTTTTTTATATTTTTATCCCTATTGAAACGGTAGAATATGGACAAAATCAAAATCATTTATTCAGTCTAGGCTGTTACAAGCACTTGTGAAAGTCGAGAGCTACGCCAACGGTTCGTAAATCTACGGCGGGAGACCTTGTACCGAGAAGAACCGACAAGAAACTCGGCAAGGGCTGCTTTTTTTCTCCCTGTTTTATTTCATACAGAGCGTCAAGATTGAAAAATGACTTCATTTAAATTTGAAGTCACTTTCCATTACAATATTACACAATATTAAGAGTAAAACAGTATTTTCGTCAATCCAATCACATTTGTAGCCAAAGAAGCTCACCGATTAACAATTTAATATATATGAAAAATGAGCCATATTTAACTCTAAGTAGTTTTGTCGTTTAAATATTCATTAATAGTATAATATCCTTTACTGAGTAGACAATTCTTAATATGGGTTTTAAACTTAGGTAATGGTAAATTTAAAATTTCCATAGGAATTTTGTTATAGTAGTGTACACCTTGACCCATAAATGACGATAGAACCTTCTTTAGCCTGCATGACGGCAAAATAAGTTTATATTTGTTTCTAGTATTAAAATTGTGTACATGACTATGTTTAATATAATTGTTAATATTGTTTCTAACATAAAGTATACAATTGTATATGAATTGGGAGGCCACTGTTAATATCCCAATTTCTTTGAATTTATCTCTAAGTGACGTTCTTGAACCCAATTGATAAATGGCCCTTACTGCTCTTTTTTGTAAAATAAATATAGACTCTATATCTGCAGCCATACCCCACATCAGAATGCCATATGACATAAAGCTATGGAAATAACTTAAGTATACTGTCCTAGCGGTATCTACATCTGTAAGTTGCCTATTTTTTTTTACTGCAAAGGCAGCTGAACTTAGTTTTCCTGCCAATAATGAAATGTGAGGATGCCATTGCAATTTAGAACCCAGCGTTACACCTAAGAAGATTGTTGAATCAACCAACTCGAGCTTTTCATTATTAAGTTTTTTTCTGTAAGTTCAGCTTTTACATTAGGTAACATAAACTTTATACATTTCGTTTTTTTAGCATTTAACTGGAGATTATTTAAAGTAAACCAGGTCATAATCTGTGCATTGAGCATTGTTTACATCGTCAAAATTATTTTTACATCTATCAATATTAAATATTAAAGAAGTATCATCTGCAAACAATACTATATCGCATAAAGTTTCGGCAAAAAATGGCAAATCATTTATGTAAGTTAGAAACAGAAAGGGACCCAGAATAGATCCCTGGGGAACTCCCGTTTTTACTTGTGATCCAGATGATCTCACACCGTTAATATCGATAGTTTGAGTTCTGCAACTGAGGTATGACAATATTAGTTGTAGGGCGGAATCTTTGATACCATAGTAATTTAGCTTCGTTACTAGTGTTTGATGCTCAACGCAATCAAATGCTTTGGATAAGTCACAAAATACTCCAAGAGCATTTTGTGACGCCTCCCAAACTCTGAATATATGTTTAAGAAGTGCTATACCAGCATCAGCAGTAGAGCGACCTTTAGTGAAACCATATTGTTTAGTATGCAGTAATTTATTTAAATTAAAATAAGACAATAACTGTTCAAGAATTATTTTTTCAAAGATTTTACTTAACGTCGGTAATATTGATATAGGTCTATAATTACTATGGTCTTCCCTATTTCCGGATTTAAAAAGAGGTATAACTTTGCTTAGCTTCATAAGATTTGGAAAAATTCCTTCATCTATACAAAGATTAAATATATCAGCCAAGTAAGGGGCTATAACATGAACTATACTTTTAATAATATTAAGATTTTGCCCCATAAATCACATGTGTTTTTTATTTTCAGACAATTAAAAGGTTTAATAATATCTAAGAAACTAATATATTTAAATTTAAACTGGCTGTCTATCTTAGGCATGTATTTTTCTAAAATAGCCTTTGCGGCAGTTGGTGACGAATTTAAACCAGATGTTGTTTCAATAGGTATGTTTAAAAAATACTCATCAAATATATTAGCAATTTTATCATGAGATTTGATGGTCGTGTTATTAAAGTTAAGTGTCAGAATATCTTCACGTATTTGCTCCTTACCGGTTTCACGGTTTATTATATTCCAAGTTGTTTTGACTTTATTATTGGAATTCTTTTATATAATTTAATTTAATAAAATTTGACTTTGCCGCAAAACACACCCTTTTAAATACTTTCGAATAATTCTTCACGTAATCAATGAAATTTTGATTATGGTTATATTTTCTTAAAGCGTATAATTCATAAAGTTTGTTTCTACTTTTATAAATACCTGTTGTAGCCCAGTCACAGAACTGTAACTTCTGTGTAACTTTTACGGTCTTACACGGAAAAGCCTTTTCGAATTCATTTTTTATAAGGCAGAATAGATTACTATAAAGATCATCAGGACCATCATTTGGCCATACCATCTCAATTAGTTTCTCATCTATGTTATTTTTAAAATTATCTAGGCGTATTTTAGTAATTGGTCTACACTTAATAATTTTTGGCTCATTAGTGATATTAATCCTATATGTCGTCTTTAGTCCGTAATGGTCAGATGTAAGATCGTTGAATACAAGTTTATTAATCGGATCATAATCAGAATATACATTATCCAAACAAGTGGCTGAATGAGCCGTTACTCTAGTAGGCTCAAGAAATTGATTAAAAAGATTGAAGCATTTAAATAATGATAGCAAACGAACGGATGTTGAACTGTTCACTAGAAGATCTACATTAAAATCACCACATACAACCAAATATTTGTTTTTTGTCTGTAATTTCCTAAGTGCACATTCACAGAATTCATTGAAGTTTTCATTGAAGTTTTATTTTAAAAAAGACACATTTTTTAAAATAAAACTTCAATGAAAACGTCTTCTCTTGCGTATGCCATCGTGCATCCCCGCCGCGCCCGGTAGCCTCCCGCCACAGCCCCCGCCGCCCCGCCGGGATCGAGCGAGGCGCGCGACAGTGAGACTCATATGCACGCGCCGATGTGACATGCCCTCGCGTTCCCGCGCACGCGCCCGCCGTCGTGAGTTTTACGAGATGGTACGAGTTTATCTTCTGAGTGGTGAGAACCTACATAAGCGCAATTCGGAGAAAGTATGCGACGAAGAACATACCTCGTATGCGGACCTTAGGGATCCGTAACCCCGCGGTCCCTAATGCTTTGAACCATTTTAACAGACGAAGTCCCAGAGTCAGTACCCACGATGCGGCATGTCTCTTTGGTGTGGGCCAGCCTGCGGTATTGAAGCTGCTAAAAACAGCCGGACTCCATCCGTACCACTTTCAACCGGTTCAGCAGTTCCATGACCTAGACCCAGTACCACGTCGAGACTTATGTGAGTGGCTTCTACATCACCGCGATGCAAACATCTTGTGGACGGATGAGGCATTGTTCTCACGTGAGGGACTGTTTCTTATGGGAAGAAGTCAAACGCCAGGATGTAGAGGAGGCACAAAGTCTAGAAGTTAAAAGTGACATTGTGTTTTAAATAAATTAAATGACAATTTAATGAAATGTGCACGTTTATGTCTGGACAGACGTGGACTTCATTTTGAACAAATATTAAAATACATGGTAAGTAATTAGCTAGATATTTGTTTTGATCCAACATTATTGTAAATACGTAGTTGATTCCATTTTTTTAAATACGCCTTAACGCAGAAGTACCTATGTAACTTCGGCATAACGTTAATATTTTTTTCTAGGTAACGAATTTGTTTCTCTTTTATTTTTTTTGCATTTTGATGGCCTTAACCATAAAAGTATACATTCATATCCGTTATATCTTTCAAAAGTTATGTTGCAAAAAAAAAACTCACATACATACATTAATTCTAAAAACAATAAACTCCTTTTCGAGAGCAGTCGTGTTAAAATATTCGGGAATCGATAATGAATCTCACCATAGAAATACTAAAGAAAATACAAAAATTGGGAAAGTATCAAAATAGCTTGGTCGTAGTTTCAACACAGTATTGTGGACTCGTAACCTTGAACAAGTTGTCGAGAACTCGGAACGCTTCAAAATACCTAATCTCACAGAGTGCTTTGTCATATGGCTCTTAAATTAATTTCATTATGTTGTGGTCATTATAATACTGCTCTTTGGTCACAGTCTCACCGACATTCATAGCCACAGACTAAGAAGAAAGATAATAATAAAAGATACGTATCTTTCATTTCAGTCAATCGATGAGAGGATTTATTGTCAATGTCAATGTACTAGTCATAGATAACACTTATTACTGGTGTACTATTAGATCAAAACAAAATAAGCATTCTAATTTCTTAAAGAAATATGAAGATAAATAAAGCTTTTAGCAAAATAATTATCTCAAACAGATTACCAATTATATTGTCTAGGGCAATGACTACTACTATCCTATCTAATCAAAATGCCCTGCATTATTGTGCAAATATCGTTAGGTATTTTTCAAAATAAATTTATTTGTATAAAATTACATACACCGCGATTAAGTATGTGCTAGTACTTCCTTGTTATTTTACAGATAGACAGCACGATTATGAGAATTTTTTAGCGACCTTACTTATGACAAAATCAATTAGATCACCAGCTCTAGTTGTCAGAGCTTTTAATGTTGAAGTAGCTCGAATACAAGACCAAACTACAGATCCACAAACGGCCACATTTCGATTGCAGTTTTGGCAAGATGTCCTTACTAATATTTACAAAAAAGGCAGCGATTTCCAAAATATCCCGGCTAACCCTGTTGCTCAGGAATTATTCAAGGTAGGCAAACATAACATAATATTTATATTCAAATTAAACATAACTTTTAAATATTTACCTATATGAATGTCCATTGTCCTAATTTTTGTTTATTTTAGTGGTAAATTCTGTAGATAATAATCTACATTGTTAAATGAAACAAGAAAACTTTTGTTCAAGCTGTATGATTTCTTTCAATACATTCAAGGCCCTCATAAGTATATTCCAATAACCTTTTTACTATTTGTACTTCTAGATTTGTAGTTGCTACACATTACCAAGAAAACATTTGGAAAGACTTGTCTCATCAAGAAGCAACTTACTTAAAACTAGGCACTTTCGAAGTTTAGAAGATATTGAGAGATATGCAGAAGATGCAGTCTCTCCTGTTTATTATCTTCTTCTAAATGTGGCAGCAGTTAAAGATATACATGCTGACCACGCAGCTTCACATTTAGGGAAAGCTCAAGGGATTGTTAATATACTAAGGTAACTTTTAAATTTTGATTTTTCCATTTGGATCATGTGATTATATATTAAACTATTTTTTTCCATTCACAGATCAATATTTGTTTCTAACAGACATAAAATAGTATTATTGCCTATGGAAATCCTTATGAGAAATGAAATAAGTCAAGAAGAGGTTTTAAGAGGAGTTGATAGTGAGAAAATGAGGAATGTTGTATTTGAAATAGCAAGTAGGGCAAATAGTCATTTAGAAAAGGTATTAATAATTTATAAAGCAATGTTAGTTGAGTAATGTATATGTACTATTTTATATTACATAGAGCATTGATTATCCATATTTATGGGAGATTGGTGGTAAACCTTTTTATAACTGTGATAGAATAATCAAACTTTTGATCTATAACTATAACTCAAAGGTAACTTAAGGTGACTTAATATATATAACTCAAAGGTGACTGACTGACATAGTGATCTATCAACGCACAGCCCAAACCACTGGACAAATCGGGCTGAAGTTTGACATGCAGGTAGATGTAATGACGTAGGTATCCCCTAAGAAAGGATTTTGATCAATTCCAACCCCAAGGGGATAAAATGGGGATGAAACTTTATTTCAGGTATTTTACACTATATAATGAAAAAATATTCATTAGAAAAGCTGCTCAAAGTAACTTCACCACGCGGACGAAGTCACGGGCTGAAGCTAGTATATTATATTTATCTATATTGCAATGAAAACCATGCAACCAACCATTACATATTATGTAAAAGCAAATAGGAATTAAACAAAAAGTGCAATACAAGACTGCACTATTTTGTTATAATACAAACATATTAAACAAATCTTCGATAATTTGTCTGCCAAACCTTACCGTATATGCAGTTGGATGTTGGAATATAATTGAACTGGTATATCAAGGCAAGCATTTTAATTATTAACAGATAAACCAATAAACAACTAATTAAATGAGTTACAGAAATTTGCAAATGTGGCTACTAGAGAATTAATAGATGTCCATTAACTGCCATTCAGATAATCAATGCTGTTATAAATTTTAACATTTTTTAATGATAATATTATAACTATTTTTTTTCAGGCCAGGAAAATCACCATACCTAAAATAGCAAAACAAGTATTCTTGCCAGCAATTTCTGTGGATAAATACTTGACAAAATTACAAAAACAAAATTTCAATGTTTTTGACACAACATTACAAAGGCAAAATGTTGCTTTACCATTCAACCTTTACTATAATAGGATACTTAACAAATATTAATTTAACAACATCTATGATGGAGTAGCGTGGTCAACTGATTCAATGAAGGAAATGCATTTTCCAGATTCAGTTACTGTTATTTAGGAATTAGAGCAATATATGGAATTATTCTAATTTTAATATTTATTTTAATAATAAATATCTTTTTTGTTTATTTTGTTTCCTTTATATAGTCATCTAAATTTTCAATTATAATTTATGAAAAAATAAAACTATCACTGCATTGGAAAAATTGCACTGTTTACTTCTAAGCTTCTTCATGCAAATAAATACTTATAACAATTTGAGATTCAAGCAACATGTATGTTTGGCAACTTGAGTACCTATAAGTACCTTACATAATATCTAGCTAATAATAATGCTATTATGATAGTTATAAATTACAATAAACACATTATTCAAATCCAAATTTCATGAAACATACTTTTAATCTGATAAGAAATCAAAGTTCATTAAACTCATTTTTGATAACATGATTCATAACCACATAAGTTTATTTAGATATTTAAAACAGATAGTTAAGGCATTATTTTAATGCATGAATCCATTCAATTAACTACCATTTTGTAATGGTTGCTAATATAAATATTAAGACATTAAGCCTTTGAAAATATCTAATATTAATTGTAGGCATTAGTAAAATTTCCAAAGTGATATTTATATCATCTGAGCAATAGATAGTAGAGATATGGTATCAAAAATATTTAATATGCTTGATAATTTATATGACATGACATATAAAAGGTGCACCGTGGATAGAAAACTTTGGTTAAGTATGTTTGAAAATCTTTGGTAACAGTCAATTCCATAACAGAAACATGATATCTAAATAACTAAAAATGTACTTTATCATAGTCTAATACCACTTTAACATAGTAATAGTCGCATATTTATAAAACTATAGTGATATTAACACCCAATCAAATTATATTTTTTCAAATTATCTATACACACTATAAAATGTATTAAAATCTATAGCTGCCACTATTTCCCATTATTTAAATTTAAAAAATGTATAAATTCATAAGTTAAGAGTTTAGATAGTAGGACACTTCTGTGCATAAAAGAAAATTTAAAAAAATAATAGCACAGGTTAACACAGCCATTAAAAAGTAAGTCTAATTTGGAATGTAAATGTTAACAAAGTAAAATATTTCTAAATATATATTAAAGCCTTAATATTTCTAAATATATAAAAAGCTAAATGTAAGTACTGTTTCATCACAATGAGCCTGCTGCATAATAAAAAGCTACAAAATTTTACTATTCTGAGGGTGTCAAGTCCTTCTCCGGTTCACCTTCAGATAATATTTGCTGAAGAAGATCATACACAGGTTCGAATGCTTTACGGCAAGCTGCATTCGTAGGAGTAAGATAGTCATGCATATCATGGTGACTTATAGTTCCATCATTTTGAATGAAGCCTTTATCTATGGTCACCATCTCCACTTTATTCATGTTGGCAACTTTTTCCCGTAATAGTTGATTAATTTTTGAATTTTTCTCTCGTAAAATATTAGGGTACTGTCCACGTGGTAGTAGACTCTGGAATATAGAAGTAGAAATATAAGACATGGTTATTTCAACATGCATTATATTAAAAAATATTAACTAATCACTTACAGGAAGTACTATTGAAGCATTTGGGTGTTTCTCTCTTATAGTTCTGATAATTTCTAAAATTCCCTCACATACTTGCTCAGGAGTATGCTCAACATTGTTGGTGCCAACATGCACTACTATTACCTAGAATTTAAAAAATGAACAAATTATTAATATGGTATAGATCATATTAAAATTCAACTTTGAAATAATTTAACAGTCATTCTTATTCAAAGATATTACTTATAAATTAAAAGATAACAAAAATAGTCAAATATTCAGTGGCTCACCTTAGGTTCAACATGATCAAGTTCACCATTTTTAATACGCCAGAGAACATTTTGAGTCTGATCTTTATGGATGCTAAAATTAAGGCAATGAAGAGGAGCAAACCATTGATTCCATACTTCAGTGTGTTCTAGCGCTTGCAATATTGAATCTCCTATAAAAATTACATCTGCATCCTTTCCTTTTGCATCAGACAGGAATCGATTGTGCTAAAAAATCCAAAATTTATTTTATATAATAATAAAAATAATGTCATTAAAAAATAATTTCTTGAATATGAAACCGAAGAATTAATGAATTCAAGAACACGTAGAAATCTAGATAATAAAGATATGGTCAGTCAATTAAGAATTCCATTAGCTTACAATACTATTCCATCTTCCATCTCCTTCTGCATCTACTTGAGGTGTAGCTGCAGAACAAGGATTCATTATATTTATACAAAACCCTTTACTGAAGTCCGAGATAGCGTAGAAAAACTAATAATTTTGCGGCGGTTGCGATTGCTAAAATTAATTGACGCGTGACGTACGGCTGACATTGACATTCACAGTTTTATAATGAAGAAAAGGCAAAGGGATTTAACTAGTGATGGGAAATGCCCGGGTGTTTTGGGCGAAGTCGTTTTTTTCCCGATAAGGACCTATAAATTTCCGCCCGCTGTGCATTTATATTTTTTAACAAGATTTATTTGAAATTTAAACGAAAGCTCAACTATTTTACTAAGTTGTGTATTGTTTTCAAAGATAAGTATATATACATTACAAATAAACAAAATACATAAATCTATACAAATCTTTTTTTGTTTTATTCAATGACTGATTTTTCATCGCTTAGCATAAACTAATAATGTTTGATAAATGATCTTCACTCAGTAGAGATTTTTGTGCAGTAAACACTCACTACGAAAGGTTTATGGAAATTCAATCCCTAGGGGGGGTGGTATAAGAGTTTAAAGTTTGTATGAAAGTATCAGTTTTTAACCGACTTCAAAAAAAGAGGTTCCCAGATTGACTTGTATGTATGTGTTAACCGTGATTATCTTGCGTTTGGATGAACCGATATTGATGCAGTTTTCAAAAAAGTATTTGTTACACTTTAGAGAAGGTTTTAATGTCTTAACTGACTTCAGAAAAACAAGGTTGAACCGATTTTGTTGCAATTTCCAGCATAGTATTTGTCAGACTTGAGAGAAGGTTTAAGGTACATTAACAAGGTTAAAAGTGGAGGTTCCCAATTTAACACTGTTTTCACGCGGTTTTCAGAAAAGTATTTTTAGTGTTACCTATTATATAAAAATACAAATGTCATTAAAAAGCATGCAATAAAAACTTCAAAAAAATAGAACCGACTTCAAACTTTAAAAAAGTAAAAATAATACTTCAATAGCATTTTCATGAATGAGTCACTTTTGATATAAGTATTATTTTTCACTTTTTTAAAGTTTGAAGTCGGTTCTATTTTTTAAAAGTTTTTTAAAGTTAGAAACATTATTTTAAATTTTTAGACTACATACTTATAAAAATGAGTAAATACCCATTTTAGCGTTAGAGAAAATTGCTCTCTTGAAGGGTTGTAATTTCACATGGCAGTCCACTGATTATCAACTGATAAATAATTTCTATCTAAGGTCATATAGAGGTTTTTAATTTCCTACACAATATTATGGAAATTGTAATTTGCAGTGTAGTGTAAAATTAAGCATATAATATTATTATTCTAAATAATTTGTCTTATTACACACACAGCAACATTCTTGTCGGTTGAAAAATAAATAAATAGTTATTTTAAACTAAAATCACCATCAAAATAAAAAACATATCTACCAATATGTACCTTGCAATTGATAAAAGTAATATGATAGCAATTTTCATTTTCAAAAACAAAATTCTAAATTTCCTTCGTTATTCTTCATGTAGGCAAACCTCAGAACGGCTCAAAAACTACTTCACTGAACTTTATGTCTTATTTACAGAGATACCCATCAAGAGAGGAATTTCCACAATCACAAATAAAGATATTTATGAATTTTTAATCAGTAGCTCAAAAATAAAGTTTCATGTTTCTAATTTCATTATTGGTTATTCCTATACAAACTTGCAACACTTATTTCACCCATCTAAGGGTAAAATTTCTTCAAAACTACACAAAATAACAATATGCTAACCAAAGATCATGGGTCGTACTTCAACGGTTTATGTTCTAGCACTTGTAGTAACGAACTCCTAGCACTTGTAGTATCGAAGTTTAATACAAACTTTCATCCCTTAATTTACCCCCTTAGGGATTGAATTTCATAAAATCCCGTCTTAGTGAGCACCTCCGTCCTAAAAAGATCCCGCTTGCAAAATTTAACACTCCTAGTAGATTTTTCGTTATTATCAGAGGTCGGAATTAGGTGGAGTTATTTATGTACTTGCATCGAAATGTTGATATTAATGTGGACCTTCCCAGGATTTCTAATGGACAATCCCGTGTGGCCAACAATCTTACAACTAAATAATAATAACAACGTCAGAGATAGACAAATAAAACAAAGATAATTAACATAAAATTTTTATTAGTTTACATTAATTTACAATACAAATTATTGATAGTCTTAAGCAAATTCTCATACGCATATTTCGCCTTTTTTATAAATACGAGCAAATACTTTTGCTTCTAGCCTAGACTCATGAGGTTTTGCCTATTCAAACGGCCCATCAGAATCATTTTCCTTGTCATCCTTATCAGTAAGATTTAAAGTGTTCGCTTCCGACATTACTGTATAACTTTTGTGAGAATTAAAATATATAATCATAAGCTTTTCAATATTTTTTGGCTTCAATGAATTTCTCCGAACATTTAAATCCATTTGTACCTTGAAAAAGATCGCTCTACGTCAACTGAAGTGAGGTTAGCAAATTTATACACTTCCTCCTCCTCGTCATTAGTGCAGGAAGAAATTTTTTCTGCTATATTTCTGATAGTGGATCACATCAGGATTTCTATCCATGACTTTTTCCATTTTATCTTCTAAGCTCTCACAATTTGCCCATCTCAAAGCTAATCTCACTGCATCAAATATTTTAAATGATTCCATTAGAGAAAGATCGGGGTTCTGTATTTCTGTGATGTCAAAGCTGTTGGTATAATTGAAAAATTTTCGTAAATACGAGACAAATCATTATTATTAAAAAATTTTAAAGCATTCTCTATTGATTTTGCCTCTTGACTGTTCAGCACAGATAATACAGATTTAATTTCATCGAAATGCTTAGCGTAATAGAATGCTGCAGCAAACCAACTACCCCATCTGGTAATTACAGGTGCAGGAGGTAAAGATAAATCCGGACACATTTCTTTAAAGATTTTAATTCTTTTTGGTGCCTTCAAAAAAACTTTTTTCATATTTGAAATTAAACTGTCAACATTAGGGTTCTCTTTTCTAATCTGCCACGCAACAAGATTTAGAGCATGGGCTAAACATGTGAAATGCAACATTTTTGGAAAAGTTTGCTCTCAAATGAACTTCCCCACATATTGTTTAAAGAATCTTGAACAAATTGTGATATCGTTGTTCCATATACAGTATCTAGCATTTTACATGCCACTAAGTAAGGCTGATGGCACCTACTAGGTTGTAATGGTCTCACCAACAAATGTACGACAGCTCTTCCTAAGAAATCTGTAGTTTCGTCTACTGAAAGCCATAGCTTTTTATCTACAATCTTACTTTGCATCTCTTGTGCTTTGATTTTAAAAAGCTAATCCAGGTAAACTTTTCTCAATAAGGATTCACTAAGTAGTTCAATATTTTGCAATTGCAACACATGTACTTTTGAAAAAATATTTTAAATACATTGTTGCTCAGTTGGGACCATGGTATGTTACAAAGAATCATAAATTCGATTAAGTCGAAGTAAAATTCTAAAGGAGTGTGGCGCTCGTTCTTCGTGCCTTTATGTACTGCTCCTTCTACATGTCTTTGGACGTTACTCTGACGAGTTGTATTCAAATGTGCTTCGCATTTAGAGCAGTAAATTAATCCACTTGCATGGTCGTAAAATAGCTCCGGATTATCTTTGATCCACTTGTTGACGGTGGCTTCTTTGATTGAACTCTGCGCCATGATAATACTTTTAATCTGGAGCAAAAAAATTATAAATTTTAGAAAACTGTATGAATGTGTTTGTAAATTTGTGAGAGATAGGGTACAACAGTTGCGAAGTTTAAAAGATCTAACCGTGCATAAATTCATACAGATAGACAGACGGCGAGAAGCGAACTTTGTTTTATACTAAAGTTAAAAGCTAAAAAAGAAAAACAATAGAAGATTATCAGAAAATCTAACTCCAATCGTTAACCATATAGTCAATCAATTAAAAAAACGAGTCCCGTATGTTAAGCTTCTTCAGTAGCATTTGAAATCATTGTTACTTTATTGTGATTGTATCAAAGAACATCTTAAGTTAAACAATACCGATTTTGATAACAATACAAGAAAACGTTCTACATAGGGAAAATCTATTTTAAAGGAAATTTAATAAAAATATGAACAAGAAACTTACCAAGTATATCACCAATTTCAAATATCCAATTATCCAATACAGTAAGGCCAAATCAAAGTCCGTTAATGCGTGCCGAAATAGTCGTATTAAGTAGAGTCCAGAATCCAGTAAACGAGCCAGGGTCAAACAGGATTGACTACACAAAACACAATAGGAAACAAATGAGCGCATTCGACGAACCGAGGTAAGCGAATGAGCTGAGTGAATGAGCAAACCGATTCATTGCTAATAGATAGTTTGAATGCGGTAGAAAAAGACACAATCTAGTACATATCGTTAAGTGGGGAGTGCTCCGCATTTGCGCTATTGTATTCTTTTGTTCTCACAAGCTATGTTGTGCGAACTACAAATGTGGCAACATCGCGCGTATTGGTATTTTGCAACTTTGGACATCCGATGTCATTGATGTAAGTTTGGCAACGTCGTGCGTGCAGTAGTTTAAATTGTGTAAAAGTAAATAACTTTTTATTTAAAAAATCACGGGATTTTTTCTGCTCTTTAAAATTAATCTCGGGATTTGAGGCATATCCACTTTATTCTTTCGCTGTATGAAATCAGTGTAAGTACATCAATAACTCTACCTAATTCCGACTATTGGTTATTATATAGATATATTACGAGCTTATTTACCTCATAATAATCTATACTAAAATATCCATTTCTTTTAAATAGTTCAAAATTAATAGCTAAATCACTTATATGGTTCTTTTTTTTATGCCCACTTATCGGGCATTTATCGGGCGTTTATCGAGCAAATAAGATTTATTCCCAAAATGCCTGGGTTTTTTCCCTATATGCCCGCCGGGCGGAAACACTTTACCCATCTCTAACTAGACACTACGTTTCTCCTTGGAGTAAGTGTTCTGTGCTACCCACAGACCAAGATACCGTTTGTTGTGGTTTTATCCCGTTCGTCGGTGTTATCCCTGATTTTATCAGATAAACGCAAGAAAAATGTTGTATTAGATAGTTAAAGATACACTAAAATACAAGTTATGATTATGAATTAATATTTTGATGTAGAACAACTTACTTAAATGTTAGTTATTAATGGAGCCTTCGGTCGAAAACGATACGACTCTAACCATGGAAAATAGACACAGAAAAGAGAAAAAGGAGCTTCAAGCACAAATTCAAGCTTTAAAAAAAACTGCAAAGAATGATAAATCGAAGAAGAAAGAAATTTTATCAGAAATTGCTAAATTAGAAATTGAAATGGATAGCCGTCATAAAGAAGAACTTAAGTCGTTGCAGCTGGAAACGAACCAAACCGAGAAACATACATCTGAAAACCAAAATTCTGTAGAACAAGAAGTAGCAAAAATGAAAATATCAAAAGCACAAAAAAGAAGGGATAAGAAAAGTCTCTTAGAAAAAGAAAGGGAAGAATCAATAAAATTACAAGAAAAGGAAAATCTCCATGGACCTAGAAATCAAGAAATTCAAGAAATATCAGCTAAGTTGAAATTAAAGAAACTAAAAATATTTTCTATTCCTTCTGATGGTGACTGTCTTTTTAATGCAGTGGCACATCAGTTATTAACCATTAGAAAGGAGGTGTATACAGCTGAACAGCTAAGGAAAGTCTGTGCATCTTACATGAGGGAAAATATTGATGATTTTTTACCTTTTATGACAAATCCAGATACTTATGAGATGCTCACTGTGGAAGAATTTAACAACTATTGTGATAAAATTGTAAATACAAATATGTGGGGAGGTCAGCTGGAAATTAGAGCTTTATCTAGTACTATAAAGTGCCCTATAACTGTTATACAGGCAACTGGACCTGATTGTATAGAACAGGGAGGTGAATTTTCAGGACCACCTTTGGTAATTACATATCACCGCCATATGTACCGTTTGGGTGAACATTATAATTCAACTTGCTTGTATGATGAGGAGGAAGTTGAATAAAAACATTTAAAAATACTTATTTTTCATTTATTTAAGAATATAAGCTTGGGCTTGAAAATCTTAAAAACTACCTTTCAAAAGTAGACAGAGAAAACAAATATTATCTTTATATAAATATTATTCATTCACTAGATAGCTTAATAAATATAGAGTAGAGCTTAAATCAAAGTCAAGTTTTATTCTCCATTATGTTTTTCATCTACATTCTCATCAGTATTCTTGTTAGGGTCATCGGGTTTCATAGCTGGGAATAGCAGAACTTCCTGTAAAGCCAAAATTTAATTGTAATGACAGTCAACATGCAAAATAACAAAACTGTTAGTTTATAACAGTACTTAAATAAAAAAAGATTTATAACAATAATGCAGGTACTAGATTAATGAAATAACTTCAACCTTAATGTTATTCGAGTCTGTGAGGAACATTGTTAGACGATCAACTCCAAGTCCCCATCCACCTGTTGGTGGTAGACCATATTCTAGAGCTGTACAGAATGCCTCATCTGTTGGTGGAGCCTCATCATCACCAGCTGCACGATCTTTAGCTTGTTGTATGAACCGTTCTCTTTGTGTAGCTGGATCATTCAATTCTGTGTACGCATTACATATTTCTTTCTTCATCACAAATACTTCAAACCTATTAATGTAATGAGACAATTATTAATTTAAAGATATTATTATGGATAGAAAAAGTGTAGTGCCTAATCTGTATTTACTTCTATTACTTTTAGGGTAGTCATACCTGTGTTATAATAAATTTTTTAACACCTTTGCTCGTAAAGCTGATGTAATTCCACCGATTAAAATATGTAAAGTGGGTCATAAAAAACGCGTGTGTTACCAAAGCAAATAGTTAAGTTATAGTCCATACAAATCCCATAACAGTATTATTTGCCATTCGCGTGCTGTTGCTATTCAAATTTCGAACTAATCGCTGCTAGGCGCCAGTCAGTGGGCATTGCTAGCGCTCTGTTAAAATGGCGGGAAAGCAACAGTGTACATTCACAGATTGAGTTTATTTAATGTTTTTTTTTTCTGTTTCCTCGCAAATGTGTTAAAAAACGTCGTACGATATACGTGCGTATTGGTTATAACGCAAAACTTACGAACTTGTACTATAAAACTTAAAATTTTATATTTCAAATATTATATTAAGTTATTATCATGTCAATTTACCTTTCTGTAAGGCCAGGTATGTCCCTGTGATATTTGGATAAAGGACTCATTATCTGTGGATGATCCAAAATAAATGTTGGATTCACACATTTCTCTTCCAGGAATTCACCAACCAATTTATCCAGAAGTCTAGCAGTTGTTCGAGGAGGCGGACATTCTATCTAAAATTATGTAAATATGGACAATAACACCTGTGTGACCTTGAGATTATATTGACGCAAAACTGAACAACACAATACCTCATGTTTTTCACAAAGTTGACTGAAAAATGTATTTGCTTCTGTAGTGTGGAATTCTTCAGGTGAAGGTAATTTCACATTTAAAACTTTTTCTAAAGTTGATATCATTGGCATTCGAGCAAAAGGTGGTGTAAAATCAATTTCTACTTCTTCACCATCGGGTCCATCTGGATGATATTTTACCTTTAAAAATTAAAATGAATGAGTAACAAGTCAGACAGTAATATACATATTCTGTAACTTTGAAGACAACATAATACCTTATAAGTGCCATGAATACTTTTCACCATTCCTGATAGCATTGATTCAGTGATAGTCATGAGATCATTGTAATCTGCATAAGCCATATAAAATTCACAAGTAGTGAACTCAGGGTTGTGTGTCAAATCAATACCTTCATTACGAAATTGTCTCCCAATTTCATAAACTCTGTCTAACCCACCAACAACTAACATTTTATGATAAAGCTCTGGGGCTATTCTCATGTACAGATCCATGTTAAGATCATTATGGTGAGTGATAAAAGGTTTTGCTGTAGCACCTCCAGCGATCAAATTCATCATTGGTGTTTCTATTTCTAGAAAACCCATATTATCCAGAAACCTTCTTACATATGCTATTATTTTAGCCCTTGTATAAAATGTTTGTCTGACCTGAAACATAGATAAGAGAATATACATAAATTAATGAATTGGGCATTTCTATGCAACCTGCTTGCTTGATAAAGTAAATAAAAGTTATAAAACACATTTATTAGGTCTTACTTTATCATTTAAAATCAGATCTAAATATCTTTTTCTAAATCTGGTTTCCTTATCTTTTAGACCGAAATGTAAGTGAGGTAACATATGTAGACATGGCGCCAGAAGCTTGATATTTTTTGGTACAATTGACAGCTCTCCTTTTTTAGTTTTGCCAGGATGTCCTATACATCCAATAATGTCTCCTCTTCTTAATTTATCTGTATCAACTGCAAACTTCTCCTCTGACTCATACATTTTAGCATTAGCCATAACCTAGAAATAAGGTTTTTTAAACTTAATATAATCAAAGTATTTATCTTAATATTCAAAATTAAAATGAATCATACCTGAAGTTTGACACCTTCTCCACGTAAATCATAAAAGACGAGTTTAGAACCGGATTCTCTGATTGAATGAATTCTACCAGCTACTGAGAGAGTTACATTATCCAATACATCTCCACTGTTAATATTATTATACTTTTCGATGAACTCTTCAAGTGAGGTTGTTACTGTAAATTTATGAGGATATGGATGATCTGATTTTGAACCAGATTTAAGAAGAGCAACAGCAGATGTCCTCAGCTTATAATATTCATTAGGGCTTATTTCTTCCTCGAGTTTATTAGATTTTTTCTCAGAAACAACGACTGGCTGTTGGGCTACTTTTTCTGCCTTCTCTTTCACTTTTTGTTCTGCTTTAAGTCTACGTTTGAGTTCACTAAAAATAGAACAGTAGTTGCAATTAAGTAATATATGAGTAAAATACATTTAAAATAAAATGAACCAACCGTTTGCTTATCGAAGAAGACGAATTAACGAACAGTTGTAAGTTCAACTTGGTTCTAATAAATGCTCCAGACGAGAACGTAAAAGTTTTTAGAGAAAACATTATTGTTCCTTAAAATATACTCACTTCTTAGATATTTTTTCACCTGTAACTTCAGCCATTATTATGATAAATTAACTTCTGAAACTAGTACAAATTCTAACCTAACAATACCACGTACAATTTAACCACAGATTATTTGGTTTTTTCGTTCTATAAAGGTTCTATGGTTGTAGTAGTTTCTTCCATGCGACTGGCCAAGGTACTAAGCCATACAGCCAAATCTTGAGTCCTAGGTTGATATGTATAGTAGGGTCGTGATCGTCGAGCGATGTGGATACATTTACTGCCAATACCTACTAACTCTGTGCTGGCAACCAAGGTGACCTTATAGCCAGAACTCTTTTTCCCACCGGCAGTGTTCCCAATGTAAACGTGATCAAATGCAAGAAGAAGTCTCATTTGAGAATGTTTTATTTCAAAAAATTTCGTCATTGAGAACTTTATAAACTTGAATTAATATTGAAAAATTAATAAACTAATCAAATCAGTGAAAATTAAACAAAACAATATTTTATGACTGACACTACAAGCCAAAAATGAAATTGACCGTTACTTTTGCTTCATAATTAAAAGCAAAAGTAACGGTCGTTTCGTTTTAAATATTTGTATGTACTTACATACAAATATTTAAAACGAAAAAGCTACCTCATCTTGGTAAAGTGCTTGTACCAAACTAGACTGCTACTATTTCTTTTGTATAAAACTTAGCTTAGAACTATCACAGTGAAATCATAATCACTGAAAAAAGTGAGCAGTGTCAAAATCACTTCGTATTTTATCAATGATTTACAATTTTGAAATATCAATATCGGCGATCTACACTGAACTCCATTTTGACACTTGATCTTGTATCGATAAACAATTATTTCGTATATCGTATTCATTAGTGACCATAAAAGTGATCTTCCATGAGTGATTTTTCATATAAATATAACAGTTTATAATTCTCGGCATGAGATTAGTGATTTAGTGAAAATGAGTTACGAAATACTGAAACCTTAACTAAAACCGTGTGATAACCAATACCTACAGAGCTCTGTAAACAAATTATTTCGGTTGTTCTCAGACGTTGCCAGAGTTGCAGAATAAAATGAAATGAAATGAAAATGTTATGAATCGTCCAAAAATATTTTTTTCCCTACCACTACTTCAGGACGTCTTTTAGCTGACAAGAAAAACAAGCGAAAGAAATTTACTAGCTTTTTGACATTTAAATAAATCATGTCATTACCATAATACGAGTAGTACGTGTTATAACAATGATAAATACAATTTTCAAAGTCTGTGGGATATGAGTTGGTACATATAATAATTAGTCGTCATAGAACAAAACGAGGGCTATTAATTCCATTTTAGGAACCGTAAGGTTGAATGTTGGTCCCTACTGTGGTGATGGAGACAACTGGCTAGGGAGACTAAAGGATAATTGTCTCCCTCCGAGCTAGGTGTTATTAGTCCGGGGACCGCGGTCCAACCGATGTAGGTTGGACGTTCTATTTATGTTAATTGGTAATGAAACTTATTCTGTGCGATGAAGGTTTCTTTGTTCTAAATGTCTTGTAGTTATTAATTTATGCTGTTTGTATTGGTGCAGCGCCATCTCGTTACTTGCTGTTGAAACTTATTGCAGTTCGTCTTGCTATCGATGGCTGTGACGATGCTAGTCTTCTCGCTATCGATTGTTGTGGCGATGTTACTGCGATGAATTAGATGTCGCTATGTATCAGTCGCCACACCATGCATTGCGGTCCTTAAAATAATCATCAATTTTTTATTAGCCTTTACTCAAAAGTATATTCTTTACATGAATTTTAAATTTATTTACGTCGGGTAGGTCAACTACATTTTGTGGAACTATATTGAACATAGCAATGCATTTATCCAGAAACGATCCTCTGGTATTTTGAAGTTTGAAACTTGGAACGGCAAGTTTACTATTTTTTTGTTTTTCATTAAGAATATTTATATCTTTTATTTTGGACATTTTTGAATTGCCCCGAACTGCCCCGCTCACTCTGGACTGGGTGACGGCTGAAAATCGATACTTCATCCATTCTTGGATGATTTACTCTTGACACTTATCTTAGGGCGCTTGTGCACTACACTGAATTTTCAGATTCGGCGGTCCGATTTTTTCTGGCCCGATATGTCAGGCCATATGTAGGTAATGCTAGCGTGTGCACTGTCAGGAATATAACCGTCCGGAATTTTACTTTTCTCTATTCCAGACCGGTTTTTTCAGGTACGTGATGGCGGCAATGAAAAACGTGTTTACGCTTGTGCACTGCTGTATCCGCGATCCGGAAAATTCATGAGCCTGCGGAGTGGGCTTGGGAAAAAATAATCGATATTTATTGTAAATTATAAATTGTGAAATTTTATATGATGATTCAATAAAGTGGGTGGGCAAACTCGATATAGTCAATTTGATCATTGTATGGTTCTAGTATTGATACTTTGCTAGATTCTAGTTTTAAAAAAAAATTGTGGTCGATCTAGCTTTTTTTGGGAGCAAACACTTGTTGTAAAAACGTGTCCATTGGGTAATTTGATTATATAATGTCCAAATTCCGTGTCCCATACAAAGCGCAACGATATACAGTGATATACAGCGCGATAGTCTAAAAGTGGAAATTTCCGATATATATATAATCGATATTTATTGTACAGTATATAATTCGATATATTGGATGATAATTTAACATAGTTGGTAAATATCACTGCATCTGCCTTAACAAACTCGATTAGTTATAATTTGATAATCGTATGGTTATAGTATCGATGCTTTGCTAGATTCTAGAATCATATTAAAAGTAACGATCCCAAAACAATATCGAATCAAAAGTATCAATAAGTTAAGGCAAGACAAATAAGTGTTGGCTTCCACGCCTAAACAACTGAATCCATCTTAATGAAATTTGATACAGAAATAGACTTAACCTTTTATCGTGAAAAAGAGGTGGAAACAGGGGATGAAAGTTTGCATGGAAATTTGTCAATATCAAAATTTATTTTTAGGAAATTGATGAGTATAAATAAATATTTGATAACAGAAGTAATAATAAAAAATAAACAGAAGATTAACAGAAGTAATTTAGTGACACTCGATGTCTTTTTCGTATTTATTGTAATAAAATTTGAAATGACTGTTTGTGTCATAAATAAATTTAAAAAAAGAAGCATTCTAAACGAAAAATAATCCTGCTCAAAGAAACTACCACGCGTATAAAATTATACCTTTATATTATATAATAATATATACAGTCAACTGATCTTACAATGATGGCTGATTTAAATGTCATCGTAAAGTTCATTTAACATATTAATTCTCTGCTTACACGGCACTAATTTCGATTTGTTTACGAAATGGCGCCAACGATTGGTCTATCTCTGTAATCGCTTAAAATAGTTTTTACAAAACTTTGAAAAAAATATCATGTTTATAAATTTAAACATCAAGTACTAGAGCATTATCAGTTATTTTATTCTAATGTCATAGATATTTTTGCTATTGTATGTGAATAATTCTGTTCCTAAATTAGTAAGGTTATATGTTTTTACATCTAATAGTAGTCACCCGATAGTAGTAAAAATAATGCTTTCGTCTTGCCCCAATTTAGTATGGTTTATGTAAAATGATCAGGTCATTATTAAGATACTTTTCTACGTAAGTGAGTGACGTGTAGCTTCAAAGAGAGCTGCCCTACGCCCGACAGGAAAAAAACGGACAAGTGCACAAGCTACTCATTAGGGTTTTTCATGGCATTCCGGATCGGAAAAATTCAATGTAATGCACAAGCACCCTTACTGCTGCACACAGGTATATCACTTATATCATTACGTATTCTGTTCTCAACTGTTCTTTGTATTGTACAAGTTGTGATGTATTTGTGTGTTGTAGTCTGAATAAAATATCTATCTATCTATTTATATGGACACTACTTTTTAGCGAAGGAATCGTAATGTTTTCTTGCGTACCTAATATTTTCATAGATGTATGGAGAGTAGTGATGGGAAAATGCCCGGGCGTTTAGCCAAATTGGGTTTTTTCTGATAAGCGCCCATAAATTCCTGCCCACTGGGCATTTACGTGGGTATTTATATTTTTGAACAAAATTTATTTGAAATCTGAACAAAAGATCAACTAATTTACTAAGTTGTATTTTGTTGTTAAATATACATTACGAGTAAACAAAATACACAATGATAAAAATACATAAATCTATACAAATAATCCTTTTTTATTCAATGACTGATTTTTCATCGCTTAGCATAAACTGTTAAAGTTTGATCAATGATCTTTAGAAAGTAGAGTTTTTGTGGAGAAAACACTGACTTCGAAAAGTTTACGGTTAGTATGAAAGTATCAGATTTTAACCGACTTCAAAAAAGGAGTATCTCAGATTGATCTGAATGTATGTTTGTTCGTGATTATCTCGCGTTTGGCTAAACCGATTTTGATGCGGTTTCCAGAAAAGTTTTTATTACACTTTGGAGAAGATTTTAGTGTCTTAACCGAAGAAAAAGAAGTTTGAACCGATTTTGATGATGATTTCAGCATAGTATTTTTTAGACTTAGGAGACGGTTTTATGTATGTTAACAAACTAAAATAATGGAGGTTCGCACTTTAACACGATTTTGACACGGTTTTCAGAAAATAATTTCTAGTTTTACCTTTTATATAAAAATCGTTATTATTAAAAAACATGAAATAAAAGTTTAAAAAAATAGAACCGACTTCAAACTACTAAGTCTGTGCTGCCAAATAACCTACAGAAAATCTCCGCCGGACTTTAGTAACATTTTCTTGAATAAGTTGTTTTTGAGATAAGTATTATTTTTCAATTTTTTTTTTAGTTTGAAGTCGGTTCTATTTCTTTTAAGTTTTTTAATTATTTTTAATTTTTACATATAAAAAATAGTAAATACCCATTTAAGAGATAACTTCTAAGATCAAATAGAGGTTTTTAATAACCTGTATAATTTTACGTAAATTTTTATTTGGCGTGTAGTGTAAAATAAAGCATACATTATTATTATTATTAATACACACAGCCACATTCTTGTCGGTTGAAAAATATGTAAAATATGTAATATCTACCAATACGTACCTCGCAATTGATAAAAATAATAGAATATCAATTTTCATTTTCAGTAGGTATAAAAAAAAACAAAGTTCTAGATTTCCATTGTTATTCTTCATGTAGACAAATACAGAACGACTTAAAAACTACTTCACTGAACTTCACGTCCACAATCACTGATAAAGATATTTATGAATTTTTAATCAGTAGCTCAAAAATAAAGTTTCATATTTCTAATTTAATATTGACGAACTCTTATACAAACTTGCAATACTTATTTCACCCTTCTAAGGGTAAAATTTTTTTAAACGGTGAAGCAGCTGTGCAGCTTATTTTGTATTAGTAACCTAAAAAGAAATCCATATTTCATGAATTAATCAATTAATCAGAAAAGTTCTTTTTTAAATATAGATTGACTAGCCTTCCGTCAGTGGCTTCGCCTGCGTGATCTAGTTTTAAATCAAGAAATGACAAAATTCCATAAAAACTAATCATCCCCTAATTTGCCTCCTTAGGGGTCGAATTTCGTAAAATTTCATCTTAGTGAGCACGTAGTCCTTAAAAGAACCCGTATGCCAAATTTGAAACTCCTACCGCTTGTAGTAACGAAGTTTCATACAAACTTTCATCCCCTTATATAAACCCTTAAGGGTTGAATTTCAAAAAATCCCGTCTTAGTGAACACCTGCGTCCTAAAATAAACCTGCATGCAAAATTTGAATTCCTAGCACTTGTAGTTTCAGAGATTTCGTGATGAGTAAGTGACCTTTCGCTTTAATATGTATAGATAGATTACGAGCTATATAGTTTACGTCATAATAATCTATACTAAATTATTCATTTCTTTTAAATAATTCAATATTATTAGCTAAATTATTTATATAGTTCTTTATATACAAGGTGGAGCAGAACGACCGACACTCCCGAGGTTCATGGAGAGTACTATTTGTCTTTAATATGATGTAAAAACAATATATGCCTAGGTCAAATAGTTTCAGAGATAAAGTTTTTGGAAAAAACTGAGTGTTTTCAACCCTGATTCAACTGTTTTTGGGACGTACTAAGGAAAAGTTTCTAATCGGTCATTGACTTCTTCATTTCTAAAAAGAAATAAACTAGTTTGTGATTTGACAATCAATAAACAAGGCAGTCAAAATGCTTAAATCGATTTACAGACTAACAGCCGGTTTCTGATTTGAATAAAGTAGAAAGTCTACTGCTTATTCCCAATAACCTAAGTTTTTTTAGTTTCACAAGTCTAATAGTCCTAGTTTTATCAAACTGCTATCAACTGATTATCAAAAAACTAAAATCGGAAACGAAAACTAATTAATGTGAGTTTGAGACGTGAGACATTAAATTCTCAATTCAGAAACCGAGTGTAAAATTTCCTAAATTATTGTAAAGAGATCAGTCTAACATTAACCTACGTTATTTTAAAAGAGCAGTTCTCCAAAAAAATGTTTGAATTGGGTAATACTCCTTTAACAACGTGATCGTTAATTAAACTCGATAAACTCACAAATCTTCCAGCGATTCATCATTAACACATATGAACTTTGTTTTATAAATATTGAGGAATTTGTTATTAAAATATCATTTAAAAAGAACATTAAAAAAGGCGTGATATCAAAAGACGAATAAAAAAATGTGAACCGAGTTTTTTAATTATTTTTAATTTTTACATATAAAAAATAGTAAATACCCATTTAAGAGATAACTTCTAAGATCAAATAGAGGTTTTTAATAACCTGTATAATTTTACGTAAATTTTTATTTGGCGTGTAGTGTAAAATAAAGCATACATTATTATTATTATTAATACACACAGCCACATTCTTGTCGGTTGAAAAATATGCCTTTAAAAAGTTAAAACCATCATTAAAATAAAATACATATCTACCAATACGTACCTCGCAATTGATAAAAATAATAGAATATCAATTTTCATTTTCAGTAGGTATAAAAAAAAACAAAGTTCTAGATTTCCATTGTTATTCTTCATGTAGACAAATACAGAACGACTTAAAAACTACTTCACTGAACTTCACGTCCACAATCACTGATAAAGATATTTATGAATTTTTAATCAGTAGCTCAAAAATAAAGTTTCATATTTCTAATTTAATATTGACGAACTCTTATACAAACTTGCAATACTTATTTCACCCTTCTAAGGGTAAAATTTTTTTAAACGGTGAAGCAGCTGTGCAGCTTATTTTGTATTAGTAACCTAAAAAGAAATCCATATTTCATGAATTAATCAATTAATCAGAAAAGTTCTTTTTTAAATATAGATTGACTAGCCTTCCGTCAGTGGCTTCGCCTGCGTGATCTAGTTTTAAATCAAGAAATGACAAAATTCCATAAAAACTAATCATCCCCTAATTTGCCTCCTTAGGGGTCGAATTTCGTAAAATTTCATCTTAGTGAGCACGTAGTCCTTAAAAGAACCCGTATGCCAAATTTGAAACTCCTACCGCTTGTAGTAACGAAGTTTCATACAAACTTTCATCCCCTTATATAAACCCTTAAGGGTTGAATTTCAAAAAATCCCGTCTTAGTGAACACCTGCGTCCTAAAATAAACCTGCATGCAAAATTTGAATTCCTAGCACTTGTAGTTTCAGAGATTTCGTGATGAGTAAGTGACCTTTCGCTTTAATATGTATAGATAGATTACGAGCTATATAGTTTACGTCATAATAATCTATACTAAATTATTCATTTCTTTTAAATAATTCAATATTATTAGCTAAATTATTTATATAGTTCTTTATATACAAGGTGGAGCAGAACGACCGACACTCCCGAGGTTCATGGAGAGTACTATTTGTCTTTAATATGATGTAAAAACAATATATGCCTAGGTCAAATAGTTTCAGAGATAAAGTTTTTGGAAAAAACTGAGTGTTTTCAACCCTGATTCAACTGTTTTTGGGACGTACTAAGGAAAAGTTTCTAATCGGTCATTGACTTCTTCATTTCTAAAAAGAAATAAACTAGTTTGTGATTTGACAATCAATAAACAAGGCAGTCAAAATGCTTAAATCGATTTACAGACTAACAGCCGGTTTCTGATTTGAATAAAGTAGAAAGTCTACTGCTTATTCCCAATAACCTAAGTTTTTTTAGTTTCACAAGTCTAATAGTCCTAGTTTTATCAAACTGCTATCAACTGATTATCAAAAAACTAAAATCGGAAACGAAAACTAATTAATGTGAGTTTGAGACGTGAGACATTAAATTCTCAATTCAGAAACCGAGTGTAAAATTTCCTAAATTATTGTAAAGAGATCAGTCTAACATTAACCTACGTTATTTTAAAAGAGCAGTTCTCCAAAAAAATGTTTGAATTGGGTAATACTCCTTTAACAACGTGATCGTTAATTAAACTCGATAAACTCACAAATCTTCCAGCGATTCATCATTAACACATATGAACTTTGTTTTATAAATATTGAGGAATTTGTTATTAAAATATCATTTAAAAAGAACATTAAAAAAGGCGTGATATCAAAAGACGAATAAAAAAATGTGAACCGAGTTCGTCCCTCGATATCAAAGCCCCACCCGCCCGCCAGCCGCCAGGCGGCTTCATTATTCTGTCGGTATTTTTCGGCCGATCAGTCGCCGCCGACCTTTTGCACTGGAGTGTTGTTGCGCATCGCCGCCGACGCACCACTGCGAAGCGTCTTTTTTGTCGATTTTTGTTTTGTTCTAGTGCATTTTTAATTGAATTTTTGTTTATAAGATACTTTGAGTGTTAAGTTTAGTTTAGTGAAGATTGTGTTTAGTTTTGTGTGAAATGTTATGTGTTTTACGCGTGCATGCACCGGCATTGAAAAGAGCGTGCTTAGCTCGGTCTTCAGAAAGGAAGTGGACATTTTCAGCATCGACTATCATTAAGATATCGGTAAATAATTAAATTAAGTTAATGTATTTCGCGGTTCGTTGTAATCTGCACACAATCGATATTGCGCATGCGCTTTATAGGGCTGTCAACACTTAGAAATTTAAAATTTTTACTCCATTTTACATCTCCTCTATTTTTAAATATTTGTCAAATAAAATGAACGTTTGCATGTAACCTAACTTGAAACTTTCGGCTGTGTCGGTCATTTTGTTCCTCCCAGTATAGTGCGGACAGCTCTCATTTGTAGAATAAAAATATCTTGAATACTAGTCGCAGAGCCCCATAACAATAGGCCATACGTCATTACACCATGAAAATAACCAATTTTGCTGTTTCATCATTTGTCAAGAGTCAAATTTTTTTAACAGCAAAAGCTACAGAACTTTGTCTACTTGACAAGTTATCAATACGAGGATTCCATATTTAATAAGCGGGTTAGTAGTTGAACCAGGCAAGGCGAGGCTGCACAAAACGAAGTAAGGTACGTATAACTTTGGTCAACTTTGCGGGTATTTTAATCAAGTAGATTAGGTGCTTTAGTCTGCGCATATTGCCATTGCTACTGCCATAGAGTTGATGTTTTTGGAATTTTTTAGTCTGTGTTGTGACATCACAGCTGTTCGTTTTGCTGTGGTCTGTCTTGCTAGAGAAAATTGTAATAATTACTTTTGAAAGTGAGTGAGGTATAAAAACCACATTATAACTCCTTTTTCTTAATCGATTTATCAATTTACTTCTTAAAGCTGCAACATGTTCAAAATGATTAAGGTCTGAATGAATGACATCTCGTCAGGTCTGCTCATTTTAACATTTTGTCAGATCTCATTTTATTCCTATTGCATTTTTGTGAATATCAAGTGTTTATTAATTTATTGCGTTTTAAGGTGATGCTTTATCTAAAATATCTGTTTAAAATTGTATGTGAACGATTACAGGGACAGTCTTATGTAGACGATATTGTTTTTGAAAAGCTGTGAACTAAACGAAAAATCTACTATGCCTCTTTTTGGTAAGTCCCAGAAGAGCCCAGCGGAGCTTGTGAGATCGTTAAAGGATGCTGTTACTGCCTTAGAGAGAGGCGATAAGAAAGCTGAGAAAGCTCAGGAGGATGTCAGTAAGAACTTGGTAAGTGTTTGATTAGTCATTTGATTAATTTTTATCAATATAGATCAATGTTAAGTTACTATAGAGTACAATACAAGTTAAATAATCATCTCGCCAGTTTAGAAAAACACACTGAGTAAAAAAAACATTTTCCTTGTGTTATTGTAAAACCTCAAACTTTCTACAAAGCTTAATTTGTTTCTGGTGCTACTCTTCAAATGTTTAAGGTCTGACAATGAAAATAAGTTTCTGTCATTCAATCAAAAGTAATTAGATAATGTTGGATTTATTGAAAGTTATATTGCAATTAATGTTATCTATACTTGTATACTGTCATTTATGTTTTCACATCAAGTGATAAGCAGTAAGCATATTTAATTTTCTTGTTATGGGGAGTCTGTAAATCAATAACTAGTCATGCCTATTTTGCATTTCATGCACCATATTTTACTTGTGTATTAAGCTATAATAGCTGTAAGAAAATTCCATAACAGGCTACTTGATAATAATAACAATAATTCAATTATTATTTGATTCTATGTCAAAATAACTGTAATATTTTTTGTTTTAAAATAAATTGTATTATATTTTATTTATACACAATGAAGTTGAAATTTATAATCTGCATATAAGAAGAAAACTTTAAAGTTTTAGCTGCATGAGTATAATCACATACTATTATTTAGAATTCTCAATATTTAGATAACAAGTTTGACTGATGCAGATAACAATAATAAATTTCACAAAGAATGTGTTATTATTGGGTAATATTCAATTGGGAGTAAGAACTATATTTGTAAAAAATATATATATTCATTGTTAGCATGATTTTGACATACAAGATCATGGTACTACTGGAGAGACGACAATGCAAGTTTATATTATTTCACATTCCATCAGGACTTATCTTAGTCTACCAGCAGGACATAAGCCTGTCCTTCCAGAAGACATAAGCCTGGCCTTCAAGTGATTTAATGTTAAATATTTTGTTCAATTCTCTATGGTAGTTGTAAATGTGTAATGGATGTTATCTAGTGAAAAAATTAATGTCACATTTCTATTTCTCAGGTGTTGATCAAAAACATGCTCTATGGCACTTCTGATGCTGAACCTCAAACTGATATCATAGTTGCTCAGCTTGCACAAGAACTTTATAACACAAATCTTCTGCTTCTTTTGATTCAGGTAGTATTTTACTATGGTGATTTAATTGGAAATTAAGCTAACTTTAATAGTAGAAGATTTGATTATGATGATAGTTACATTTCATTAAACTGCTTTGTGTTCATGTGAAATTTCAACTGTTCAACTGTAAAATTGTGACATTTATTTTCTACATTAATATTTATACAAAATAACTATATATTTATTTACTCTGAAATTCTATAGAAATAAATTTAGAGCTACTAATTGTTGCTCTAAATTTGAAGTTAATAATGGCACTGAAAGAGTGCATTATGGTTTTCCCCATTTAATGATTTAAGATTGTAATTATCTTGCGAGATATGATTATATCGCTCATGCCACAGAAAATACTTTTTCATAAAATATTTAACAAAATATTGTTGTTCCTATTATTGTTGTGAAATGTTCCTTGTTAATTTTTAATGTTAATTTTAATAATGTAATTGTAACATGATAATAATATGAAGGCATGTGTTTGATTTATGAAAATGTATTTAAAATCAATATTTGGTTAAATATGATGTTTGTTAGATCGCAATATTCTCTTTTTTACATTATTTTATTGATTATTATACTGGAGACCATTTATTTATGTGATTCGCTATCCTACTATGATATTATAAATGCGAAAGTTTGTGAGGATGGCTGTATGTATATTAGTTACGATTTCATGAAAAAACTACTGGATGAATTTTCATGAAATTTGGTATACGGATCCTTCTGAGTGTGGCTTACATATAGGCTACTTTTTATCTCACTAAACAGTTCCCTAGGGACTAATCAGGCGAAAGCTAATATTTTATATTATTACTTGTTTATGGAGCAATTTGTTTATTAAGCAATAATAATAATAATAACATTTATTTCCACCACAAATTCAAGGTCATTAATGGGAGACTGGTGCTTGTGAAGGTTCAACACTATATTTCTATGGTCTGATGTGTTTGTTACTTTTTTTTTAAATTGATTCAGTCAGGCAAATCTTGATCAGCCTACTTTCACGATTGGCCCATGACATAAAGATATATTGACAAATCGACGGCGAAGTGCCAATACCTCCTATCTAACATTTTTCGAGAAAATGACTTTTTTATTTCATTGACGTTAAGGTCGTTTTCCACATGGGTTCATGAAATCACCTATCCGTATTTTTTACGACAACTGGAGAAAAATGTATGTGGAAATAGCTTCTAACTAAATTAGCGTATATAATTTATGGCAATTTCTCCTATCTACGTACAAGACTACTACATCTCAACGCGGAACATTGCGATTAACTTTTCACAGCGGCTGCCGCGCCGCGACTCGTGATATGGGTGAAGTTAGCGGTAGGGTTGCGTCACGTCACTTGCGAGGGTGTAATATCAATCGTATGTACATGGCTAGTATGTACAGGATTACCAGCATGGAGGCGAAGACATAGTTGTCAGGTAATTTGAGGTACCTGAAGGACTCAATATGCAATATACCAATCCTGGGGATGCCTACTGACACCATGCCCCCGAGAATCGATTCACACAGGTCATATCTTGTGGAGATACCCACCAGGGACGACTGGTCAAACAATCGTATAGTATGGAAAAATGGAAGCCTAAAGTGGTACACTAACGGCTCCAAATCCGGTCCTGAGGTAGGATGTGGAATTCATGGAGAAGCCCCAAGGAAGGCTATAAGTCTGAACATGGGAAAGTACTCCTCAATATTCCAGGCAGAGGTGTACGCCATTTTGGAATGTGCGGCAGCCAATCTGCAAAATAACTACCTCAATCATACTATCTACATCCACTCTGATAGTCAAGCTGCACTCTTAGCACTAGCTTCCGACATAACTAGATCGAAGCTGGTAGAGAACTGCAAACAGACATTGAACTCTTTGGGCAACAACAACAAAGTAGTTCTACGATGGGTTCCAGGTCACGCTGGACACGAGGGCAATAAACAGGCGGACAAACTGGCGAAGAAGGGTGCTAAAGACGCCCTTATCGGACCAGAACCTTTCTGTGGCATCCCTCAAAGCCTAACCCAGCTCACCTTGAAAACATACTGCCACTACGCAGCTATTCAACTATGGAGAAACACTCCCGGTATGAAACACTCTAAGACCCTGATTAAAACCTTCAACAAAAAGGCGGCATCAGAGGCCTTAAACTTAACCAAAAATCACCTTCGCACACTAGTACGAGCACTCACAGGGCATTGTGGACTGAACAGACACATGTACAATATGGGGATCAGCGGCAGTAGAATGTGCAGAGGATGCAAGGAGGAAGAAGAAACACCTTTGCACATTTTGACCGATTGCCCGTTACTAATGCGAAAACGATGTATCTATCTGGGAAAGCACGTGATGCACCCAGACGATATTAAAGAACTTACGGCCAAGAAAATACTACAGTTCCTTGTAGAATGTAATCTTGACCGTGAACTGTAGTATGTGGAGATCACAATAGATCAGCAATGGTCGCAGTGATACTGGGCTGCATAAACCCAAGATAATCCGCAACTCGAAACAATACAACAATATCAATCGTAAAAGCAATTTTTCAAAGTAATTATTGTTTTAATTAAAATCAATACCTTCTATCGTACAATTTATTTAATGAAATCACTGAGGATGTTAAACCAATAGATTCTATCAAACCAAATACCTACTAAACGATTATTAATCAAATTAATATTTTATTGAAACCTAAGCCTATCATATTGATATGTGCTCCATATAAATTGATTTCTTGATTTTAACGTTTTCAAGAAATTAAACATTTTTTTCACTTTGTGTAAAATTTTGTCTGTGTTAGTTAGAAGGTATTGGCACTTCGCCGTCGAAATAGTTGTGTTATCGCGACTTCTTCCGCGTTTATTATAGCTTGTGTCACCTGTGTTTAATGTAGCTTTCATTACTTTCGGTGTCTATTCAATGCAAACCAACAAATCTATCCTCTTTATAATCATTATCATCACCAGCCCTTTAATGCCCCTCTGCTGGGGCTCAGGCCTTCCCTATGGATAGAATCAAATCAAATTGAATAGGGAGAATGGGCCGTGACCCACCAATGCGCACTGGGCCCGCATGGAATTAAAATACTGCAGAACTGGAAACAACAGATTAACATGCCTCTGAAGTACAGAGGTGCTTGAGATAATAAATTTTTTGTCACATATCCTATCCGGCCATTGTGAAAGTTGCTTAACAACCATCGAGCTCCTATTTATAATATTAGTAAAGATATATATCTTTCTTCTTACTGTGAAACCACAGTAATATGATTATTATTTGACATATATTTCTAAATTATTATGCAAATCTGCCAAAGAAATTTAACAATAAAAGGCTTTAGGCGTTTGTCATCCTGTGCATCTCATTAAATTTGATTGAGGGATTGATTTTTATGATTACTTTTTATTGTGTAAGCGGCTGTTAACACAGCACATACCAATGATATCTAATTAATATTTTATGATATAGAAATTGTATTATCTGTGGTATAGCTTTAGGTAACTCTGTTTACAATGAGATCATAATATGTTCAAACTAATCATACTACAACTATTAATTATTTATAGAATCTGAATAGAATCGATTTTGAAGGCAAAAAGGATGTTGCTCAGGTGTTCAACAATGTGTTGAGGCGTCAGATCGGTACCAGATCCCCAACAGTGGAGTACATTTGCACTAAGCCCGAGATTCTTTTCACCTTGATGTCTGGGTAATTATAATTTTACACAAACTGGTTTTGAGATTGATATTATACCATACAAGAATGACTAAGTGAAAAACTTTAAATACAATGTAATTAAAATAGAATATCCTATTTTTGTATTTTAATTGTAATATCTACTTAATTTAAATATTGGCTAAATGGGTAAGTTTTCAAAACATAAATTATTTTTATTTATAAAAGAAAAGAAATACTTATTACCAATATTTTAAAGCAGTCTTTCTCCAAATTGCTGTGCCCAAATGGATCCATAATGATACTTTTGTTTTTTATTTGTAATAAACATCGTAATACTACATTGTGGAATGCAACAAATAAATAAATAAATATTATTTATGTTAATAAATATTGTTATGCGAGTGAGTTGTTTAAAATTATTATTATTTGATGTTTTCAGATATGAACATCAAGAAATAGCATCAAATTGCGGCACTATGCTCAGAGAATGTGCCAGATATGAGGCTTTGGCTAAAATAATGTTATATTCAGATGACTTTTACAATTTTTTCCGTTATGTAGAAGTTTCCACTTTTGATATTGCCTCAGATGCCTTTTCTACTTTTAAGGTGAGCAGTACACGTTAAACACTTCATATTGTATAATAATGATTTGTCCCTTTGAACCTTTAATAATATGAGTGAAATTTACAGGAATTGCTAACCCGACATAAAATGCTCTGTGCTGAGTTTCTAGAAGCAAATTATGACAAAGTATTCAGTCACTATCAGCGGCTGCTCAATTCTGAGAATTATGTGACTCGACGGCAGAGCCTTAAACTCCTTGGTGAATTGCTTCTCGACCGACACAACTTTTCTATTATGACACGCTACATCACCAACCCCGACAACCTAAAGCTAATGATGAACATGTTAAAAGAAAAGTCACGTAACATACAGTTTGAAGCTTTCCATGTTTTTAAGGTATGTCTCCATTTATACCTTTTGTTACCACATAAACAGTGCAATGCGAACATAGGTTTTTAGTTATTAATAGAAAATACATACATCATAATACCTCAACAGTTTTATTAAGTAACTTTCTATAATTTGCTTAGAAAATATACACAATTTTTATATTGTCATTATTTTATTAAGTCAATCGTAGTCAATGTCTTACACATTTAAACATGAAACCACTTTGGAGCAATTTTGAGAAATCTTTGATTTATTTTTATGAATTAAAGTGTTCATATTCTTTCTTGCTTGCATTCTACTTATTGTCATTTTTTAAATTACCCAAATGATAAATTGTATTTGCTTGTTATAGGTATTCGTAGCTAATCCAAATAAACCAAAGCCAATTCTGGATATTCTATTACGGAATCAAGACAAGTTGGTAGACTTCCTCACCAAGTTCCATACGGATCGTTCGGAAGACGAACAATTCAACGACGAAAAGGCTTACCTTATAAAACAAATCAAAGAGCTCAAGCCGTTGGAACACTAACATTTATTGCATTTCGTAATCGTCACTTCCTCCTCAGAATGAAGTTAGTTATAGATGCTATTATATTCAAACGCTTCTAATCACCAGAGGGTGTCGCGGCGCCAGACAAAGGGTTCAACTTAATCAGGAATTCTAAACGGATTTAACATTTTGGTCTGTGATGAGTCAGGGAAGAGAGTATATTTGTGCTACGAGCAAATTAACATTTTTAATAAAGTGTTGTAGTAATTAGTGTTATATATGGTTTGACTTATATTTCGTAAGTTGTTGAAACCATTTTAGTTTATATGACGTGTTTAGTGACATTTTCGAAGTCACAATCGAAATATTATTTTGTCAAACTAGCTAGCCTATTTGTTCCCTAAGTTTTAGCATTTGGAAGGCGGAGAAGTCATTTGAGATCTATAATATAAAAGGGTTTTATGTTTAATATAATATGTATAATTTTATTATATACATTCTAAATAATTATCAGAATTATTCATTGTTAATCTTACAAAAGTATTATGTAATATAAAAGATTAAACTAACTGGACATTCGTGAGGGTGTTGAGTCGATAATGATGATAATAATATAACTTTGCCTTGCGGTTTTGTCTGTCATCTTCTGAAAGTTATTTTTGAATTGTGTTCGCAACATCTGTCTCAATGCTTTGACATTGTACAGGAATTGAAAATTGATTAATATAGTAATTTATGAAACTGTAGATTACATAATTTAAAGTTTATTAAATGATACCAGTATTTTGCACGACTGAGAGTAGTAGTTTTGTACGTCTGGATTGCAAAAGCAACTTTCAGAATCTATTGCTAGTTGTCGATAATATATCTGCGAAGTTGTTTTAGTTTAACCTTATATTAAAGGCATACATCCATTATATTGCATCTAATTATCATACATTATTAATATTGATTTCCTTTAAAAATAAAAATAAAATATTGCAGGATGTGTACTAGTGGAGCAATTTATAAGTAAGTTCGCAAAATCACATAGCCGTTGTATTTTCGTATTTAATATAAGTGTCTTTGTTGTCAAATTTTTGTACTATATTTTAATGTATATTTTTATTTTGTCACCATCATTATTGCAATTACATTCTGTCAAAACTGAATAAAATAAGATATTTATATCATTATGCTGTTTATTAATTATAACTCGATATATATATTAGAGGAGCATGTTTGGTCATGGAGCATGTTTGGTCTTGGAGCAAGTTAAGCTACTCATGCAAGAGCTTGATATGGGATGGGTGACCAAAAATGTATTATCTCTAGAATCTCCATGCTTCGGAAGGCTCTTTAAGCATTCGGTTCCGGCCTTATCTGCAGTCGTTAATAACTATGAATTTGCACTTAGTCTTCTTGGTGGGGAAACAGTCCTTTCTGTCTGTTTGGTCGGTGTGCGGTGATGGTGGGTTCATGATGATGCTGTAGGTAGATTATTATAAAATATCCGGTAGATGGCGCCACTGTAACTGAAATTTTTAGTTAAACAAATGACGCTTTCTTTTTACAGTGACACAAACTGCGTTGGCAACTATTGATTTTGATTTAGTTTTCAGAATACCTTATGTATTTATTTTTAAATCACAAAGAAGTGCTATTAATACATACTGTAAGTTGCAACTAAGGGGCCGTCCATAAATTATGTCACACAAAATTCACGACTTTTTCCCTCCTCACCTGTCACATGTTTGTCTATACAAATTCTACTAAATATTGTTCTAATATCACAGTTCGTCGACCCCCCCCCCCTCCTAACGTGTGACGTAATTTATGGATGGCCCCTAATATGATGCATGATGAATCTCGGTTTGTGCAGTGTAAATTTCAATAAAATTATTTTATAAATTAATATAAACTATGTTCGTCTATAATCGGAATTATTAGTGTTTTTACGCAAACGAAGATACACTGCGCGCCATATTAATTCAAACGTACTTAGGAGTAGGTATCACCAAGAAATTAAAAATTTCATTTCCATTCCACAATTTTTATTTTGTATATTACAAGTATGGAACTAAATTATCATATGTACAGAGAAACGTCGAGACAACATGTGTCATAATATGTACGTACTAATATAGGAAAGGGCTGAAATTAACATAACTGAAGACATTATTAATGGATGAAAAGCTATTGTGATATAATTAAAACATATTTCTTTCAAGTAAATAATTATTATTTTATAAAGCATTGTTACTTCAATAGTTGTTTTTAGTAAAGGAGTTCTTTCTAATCAATGGATGGAAGTAATAAAAACACAAAGAAACGAAAAATCAATGGATCCTTAGTACAAAAAGCACTGTAACAGAGTACCACATAATAACGATTTTTTTATTGAACATAGGTATAATCGTATGAAAATTCATATCAATACGATTGAAAATGAAGTTAAAGCGGATATAACGAGTTTATATTTGATTTCATTTAGCGTAAAAATATAAGAGACCAGTATTAAGTTAAAGCTTAAAATCAATAAGAAATTTCTTGATAACTTATACGCAGTTGTCTACGTACGTACTTACTTATTATTTTTTTGTTAAATTATTTATTATATCATATTATTGACCGCAAGTAGCATACGATATCAAAACAACGAGTCCTTCATTAAATATTACTATTAAATAAATTCAAAGCAATTTGGCAACCATGTGTAACAGGTTTTTTTTAAATATTTTAGCGATAAACCCTGGTTCAGTCTATAAAAACACAAAATATATTTGCACTAGTATATCTTAAACAACTACATTAGGAATTTAATTTTAAAACTTAATTTCATTACATACATTTCATATATAAATAAAATCACTTAGTGGAAGCGTTTTATGGCTCTCTTGTTTGCTTGGCCACAGTAAATAATATAAATAAAGACAACTCAATAACTTTATAATATCAACGTAATCCGTTAAATGTTGTTACAAGCATATAAAAATAAGTTAAATGTATTATGTATAACATACTTGATTAATTTATGAAACGTATTTTCTTAGTTCACTACATTTCTTCAACTGAAGAGATTCATTATTTACATAAAGTGATAGAACCATTATTCCATAATTTTGCTTTCAAAATTTTACCATTTATGATTTAGAATAAAATCCAAACTTAATGATTACTACAGACGTTAGCGTCCAGTTTTAGTTTCTTCGATTCTTTGAAAATACTGTTTTTTTTGTCCATAAGAGAATAGAAGAGTGCGAGTTTCTTCAATTGTACAGTAACAGCATGTCAGGTTATATAAATTTCTCCACTTGATTTTAAACCTTAATTCTTAGAGGTTTGAGTTAAAATCAATTGTAGAAATTTATCATATTGTGGTGGTGGAGTGCAACTGCCTGTACATGAATAAACGCAAACAGTTCATTTATTGAAGAAAGGTGTGGTGTGTTTTATGATAAACATATATATTTATATCGGAGTTACAATCAATTCAACTATTTTGTCTCTCATAGAATTAACTTACATCAGTAATATACATGTCATTTACGTTTCTTCTAGGTAACACTTTCAAAATTAAAAATTTAATTTGGGCTTTCACTATATAACATATAAAAAACAGAGTCTATAAATTATGAAATAAACCGAGCGTAAAACTGGATTCTGGCGAAATCCACAAGGGCAACGCCAATAATTAAAAAGAAGAAGAACAACAATTGCATCTAATAGCAACGAACGACAAGGCTAGTGTACAAGATACATTTAGTCATGATTATTTAATACGTACCTATCTATAAATGAAAAAAAAATCCTGTATTAAGGGGACTGAAAACTAACAATGCACTGTTAATAAATGAATTGAAATAAAAGACTGAGTAATTTTATCAGTCGATTATACAAACAAAGATAAAAATATTTATTCACAAATTTTAATGGGTAGGTATTTACAAAGAGTTGGGAATAGCAACTTTATGTCCTAAATTTCTATGAAAATAACGCATTGATTGTCTAGTCTAGTCAAAATAGACAAAAATATGTGATAGCCTTTATGTAATACGCATTAAGTTAAAATTTGGTATAGTCCTTGAAGACATTATTATAAATAAAAGTCCCCACATCTACAAAAAAAAAAAAAAAAAATATTCGGAGACAAAGAACAAAAAAGGTATTTCTATTAAGTTAAATAAAAAAGTTTATAATGCAAAATGTAGCCTTACAGTCAGGTTATTTTGTTAACAAATACATAACTTTTTTTTTTATATATGCACCATATCATATAGCTAAAAGAAAATGAAGAAGGGAGCAAAAATATACAACTGCTGAAGTGGCAGTTGTATTGTATTGCAGCAACACTCATTCAAGCAATTGAATTAATTTTCAATTACCATTTTTGGTTATTAGAATATAATTTTAATGTGTGACTTCTTAATTTTTTGTAGATAATGTTATCTCTAATTTTACTGACTATCCTTGCCGTTTAAATATTTTATCCTTTGAACTCGAATAACTTGTTTTGCTGGAGATTTCAATTTACAGCCGCTATATAAATTGCTGTAAATATGTCTATTATGACCGGACTAGAAACTAAATATTGAGATCAGTCAATGAGATGTACTGATGTATCTGTGAATAAAATATTGTAATTCATTATTACTCCCATACGAATATTATAGCAAAGAATCGATTTATAGTTTTAATTTTCGGAAACCCAATCTCTGTCATAAATTATTACAAACTCTTGAACGGGTTTCAGTGTGTTTATTTTTTTACATTTCTATTAGATATTTCGGAACATTTGCAGGCCTTACAAACTTGCAAAGAAGGCGAAACGGTTTTCGTTTATTTATCTGAATTTGAAAAATATCAGAGTATGCGAATCCTCCTAACGGTATTTTCTTAAATAGCAATAATATAATTCGGTGCAAGTCATACTTCAATTTAATTAAAAACCCTAGAAAATTCAGATTTTAGTGAGTTACCTAGATATTGCAAGAGATTTCTCTTTTAATTTTAACTATCTTACATATATTATATAAATAACATTAATTCCTAATTACATCACCCTAAAATGTGCAATATTCTTAAAGAAGTCGTTTCATTTTGTTCAGGCTATGTCATGCACACTGATTACAAATATACAAATATATGTGAAACAGTATATAACTTTAATTTCCTAGTACAGGACACCTGTCTATGTAACAAAAACGCAAATGTTACGGCAAATCACGCAATAAGGTATAATGACAAAATACCAATTCTTTTTATCGATGGTCGTTTCCAGAATATTTTTCTTATGGAATATATGTATATTGGATAGAAAATATGTCAGACTTATTGCAGATTTCCCAATTCATCTGTACTAGCCATAGCCTAAAAGGAAACTTGTCCTTGAAAATGGTATTATTATAACTATCATTTTGTCAGTATTACAGAAACACTTATCTTCTATATTAATGTAATGCATGAAGAAGTATTAGTGACCATGTATAAGCGAAACCATATATTTTTTGTCTACAAGTAAATATTTGGCATTCAAACCATAAAGAGATCAATATTAGCGAAAATGAAACTTAAATTATTCACAGTCAACTTGAAGTCATAATTAGATCAATACATTGTTTGAAATCCATGAGGCGTCTCTAGTCAATAGCATGTTTGGAGAATGAGGAAATTATGAATTGTAGTCGAGGCAAGTAGCCAATCCACTAAGCCAGTGTAGTAAATTTAGAAGCTGTTCTAATTCATTGGACTAACTTGATTTCTGGCTTAAAAATTATCTCCATTTACACGAAGTCAATAATGGAGTGGCTTACTGGATAGTCTGGGCTATTGGCCTCGTAAATGGACCATTATAGTAAGAGTCTTTCTTTAGAGGAACTTCCCCTCCCTGACCACCTTTGGCTCTATGTTCTCTACATATAAGTATGCCATAACCATAATCTGTGAAGTTTGGATCGCTATTACACAAGTATAATTATATTCACCGACTTCTATTAATACTTATGGTTCAGCGATTGACATATTTATGTTAATCATTGGCGAGCTGCGAGGGAATACAAAACACACATTGACTTCAATATTATAGATTGGTTGGTCATTAATGGCAGTGATAATGTATTACACCTGTTCATCGATTCATCGTAATATACACATATGATGATAGTCGATTAAAATTCTAAGTTGATAAAATACAGTTTTAACGCAGTCACAATTAAAGTTTATCTAACATAGATTAGACAGTTGTTGAAAGAGCACTTACCTGACGAATCAATATGCGCTTTAGATATCAAAGCTTGTAAGTGTGTTTAATTGATTTGTTATAATACATTTAGCTCATAATAATGAGTTGTCCGGTATTGTTAGCGTATACTAGGCCTTGTCCTGGTTGCGGTGCCCATCGGAGACAATTCAAGCTAGTGAAACCATGCTCCCAATTCTGTTCCAGCTCTTTGATTGGCGACAAGCCTGTGCGACTTGAACTTTCTGAAATTTTGTGATTGTTGCATTTTAAAATTCTTAGATGTAAACAATAGGGTAGTTAATAACGCAAATCAATGCACCTTGTGAGTACGAAAAATTCATGCTCATTCCAAAGTAACGTGTTTTACCTAAGCGTGTGTGGTAATGTTTTGCTTCTTTTATTATAATTATTATTTTCATTGAAAAGATATCATATTTTAATATCAACTTATTCTATTCCCGACGAAGACAAATCCATAAACATCAAAATCGATCTAGTCGCTCTCGCGTTACAAATGGCGTACCTAACACACCTTTGAGTTCAATTGGTGTATAAACCAAAACTTGACTTTTCAGGAGTGCCAAAAACGTTTAATTCAAACAAAAATATAAAAACTAGTTAGAAAACAATGCTCTAGAGAGTAAATTCTTACGCTTTGGTAATTAAAAAGCCTAAATACCTAGACCTTGTCTATTTTATTTACTTTCAAAGTTAGCTTGGATTTACGTCTTCAAAACCAGTATACGGTGCTTACACCCCATCAATATTGTCAAAAATTTAAACTATACGGGGTATGTTTCGATGAAAATATGACCACATTTACTGGCGTAAAAACCAGTCGATATACATTTTTGCATAATAATTAAAGGAGTTACATCGTATCAAAACTATAAAAAAGAATACATTATATAGATAGATAGAGAAAAAACCATTTGAAATAAATAGTATATATAATTGAAATGAACTTAAAGCTATCGATATACAGGACTACGTGGGCGAATCCGCTGGCAGAAAGCTATAAGTCCCGCAAATTGCTAATGCTCTGGAACCTTGTCTAAAAAACATCAGTGTGACGTTGTTTGAAAATAGAAAAATAGGGATAGCAGGCAACAGATAAATTATTTATTAATTTTTAGTTTGTTAATTTATTGCAACAAATTTCGAACAATGCCAATTTATAATCAGGGGGGACGATTTATTAAAACATTTTGAAATGAGATATTTTTTTTTGAATAAAATCAGTTTAACTTATTGTGGAAATCATAATAGCATTTGCTCTTTTAGTCAATCATAACATGTAACAACAAAACAATAAAACGTAACAAAAATTGTGTGAGATCTCAACATACCCCCACTCAATAAGTGTAATCGTCAACGGTACTGTATATTTATATATATATATTTTTTATTTTTTTTTTCAATGCGAAATTATTTTTAATATACGGCGCTTTGGCGTCTCATGCTCCTCAGGGTTATGGCAGAATATCAGGGATTTGCCTTCTCGTAGTGAAATCGTATTCCGAGCCTTGACCCTTTTTCATTGCTGCAGCACACAACCCGACATATTTCTTGTTTTTCATCTTATTTCTGTTGCTTTCTGATTTATTTATTTTAGTTTATTTTAATCTTAAACAGTTTTAAATTAGAAGGTTATTGGAAAAGCACATTAAGTTTATTATTATTATAACCAGCGTTTATTTGTTAACGGTACTGATTGTCGAATACAATTACGTCACCAAAATGGCGGCCAAGGAGCATTAGCAGTTTGCAGGGATTATAGTAGACTGTATAATGATCGGTATACCTATTGGCTCAAGCCGGTAGAGTAACGCGAACACGTTATTCCTGCCGTGCGGCGTGGTGGTGAACCGCCTCGAACCTAGACCGACGGCGAGGTGTCGCGCCGTGGGCGACAGCGCGACTGAGACCGCGTTCTGCTCCAGTACCGCCGTGTGTAAACATTGACCTAACCGCGACCACTCCAGCGAATATACACCTGGCAAACAAAAGGTGCAACTCGTACAATTTGCGCCCTTACAACCCCCCACCCCCACCCCATATCGGTGTACATATTTTTGAAGTGTATTATTTAAAATTTGGACTTTGAAATATGTCCGTCCCATAGCCTATGTCTATTATTTTTTTTTTATATGATTTTGGCGTCCCCTTTACAATGGCGGGCGCGTGCTCTAAATCTGGTTATGAACCCGTATCAATGAGGGCTATCGTTTTTTGCTCACCAGATGGTGCGACAGTCGCGAGAGGTCCTGAGAGGTATGGCCAATAAAGAAATCTGATTTAGTTGTACTTTCAACCCGCTGAACTTTGCGCCTCTTTTTAGCTCCGGTTTTAAAGCGCTGACATTCACTGACCCGTTATTCAAGCTTTCATGAATCTCAGGTACATTAGAACTTCTATGATTATTCATGACGTCATTATGATATGTGCACAAAACATATGCACAAAGTAAAAGATAAAAAGGTGTCAATAAAACAAGAAGAATGTCATCTAATCTAGGAATTTGCTTTATAATTATGGAACAAAAATTTTAAAAATAATTTTATTAAAATCATTCCCTCAAAATTATTTGTGCATCAGAGGCAGTGTCAGGTCCTACCTCCGTTACATAATAAATTATCTAAAACTAACTTTTTCTTTGCAGTCTTATTAGCATTTCAAAAATAGAAGAAAATTCTAAGTCATGTTAATTCGTACGAGTAGAAATATGCAACAGCTTTCTAAAGCTCCATATTTTAGTATGTTGAAGTATTATTGCTATACATCACTCACTACCCATTGCAGAGGTGAGGTGCTACCTTCAGGTCAGGTTATACCTTGTGGCGATGGGGTAAGGTAAAGAACGAAAAACCGTATCATAGATAGTTATATAGTTATCATAGATTCACAGTTATCACTTAGCATATAAATTAAAAAGATTGACTCACCAAGCCAGTGATTAGTGTTCCTCAATCTGGGCACCGGGAGTAGCGCCACCAAGAGTCTTCCGTCCTTAGATATATCGATGCTAGCGTCGTTGTGGATACGACACTTTTGTACGACAACATTCTTGGTACCTGTAACGAATAAAATGAAATACAACGTTATAATGGCGACACTCTAAAAAATATAACTCTGTCACCTTTGGCCTTTCGTAAATGCTGGAATAAGTCTGATTACTACAATCAGTTTATTTCAGACTAGCTTTCCGCCAGCATTTGCGATAGCCTATATGTTAATCTAGGTTTAGAATTTAATTTAATAATTCATTTGGATAAGGTTTAATACCATGGCATGGATCAATTACAATGACAAGCTGCATGGTAACGTAATAAACGTTATCATAGTTTCCTATATAAACTTCCACTCCCGTTTTCATCCCTTTATTTGCTGTTTTTCGTGATAAAATATAGTCTATGTTCACCGCGTAAGATGTAGCTTCCCGTAGGTGAAAGAGTTTTTAAAATTGGTCCAGTAGTTTAGGAGCCTGTTCAATGCAAACAAACAAATCTTTCCTCTTTATAATATTAGTATAGATAATACATACCGTTGAAGAATCAAAGTAAATCCGTCAAGTTTTATTGATCAGCGGCATAAAATTTGACTACAACAACACAATCTTAGTTGAAGTACAAACAAATATCTAACTGTCAGCGATGTCAGGAGTGTCCCCCGTGGTGAAGTCCCACGCTTGGACGCGGTGGGAAGGGGCCGGCAATGCCTCTGATATGTTGGTGGCGTCGAACAGACCGGCCATGCCGCTCATGCGACGTGGAGCCCCGCCCCCGCCCCCGCCTGCCCCACCCCCGCCATCACCACCCGCCTCGTCATCTAGCATCGCATTCTAAAATGCGAGGGTACGTCATGTTAGGGGCTTCAGACAAATAGTTAAGTTTTTACTTGATTTTAAACCTTAAGAAATTGAGGGTAGAATTGAAATTCAATAGCGTTTTGACATATTCCGCATCTTGTACCAATTCAATAGTCAATAAAGTTTGTTAAATAAATAAATAATGTATCACGACGTACTACTGTTAAATGAAAAGTTCGTTGTTTACTCCAGCTAACTCAATTCCGCTCAGAAGCGAGTAAAGATGAGGATAAAGGTAATATCATAGGGATTGACTTCAAGATAGTGACGGTTTATGATATAAATTTACACCGTTACACACGTATAGAGTGATGAATGGATGTGATGAGTCTGAGTGGAAGATGATTTCTATCTACTCCATTATCACATAATGATAAAGAAATTATGTGATAATGGAGTAGTTAGAAAATCTTTTGTCGATCCATCGATTATTTTTCGGGTTCAAGCACAAAGGAACTTTTAATATAAAAAATGTAAAGATATATAATGTTTTTTATTATTATAATTACCTGTGCGAGTATGATGGGTTGTAAATATTCATGAATTCGTGGTAGCCTTTGTTGCTGATTCCCTGGTGCGTCAGGGTTTAAGGGTAGGTCGTTGACTTGCATCAGTGGCATGGCAACATTATTTAGAACCGCGTGGAACTGTCCAGGCTCCTCCGATGCTCTATTTGTAGACTCACTGCGAGGGGTCAAAATGTGAGGCCGATATGTTGCAAAAGGACGACGATTACCCATCTCTGACCCGCTCTGCAGCGGAGCCCTACTTCCTGATGGGTTACTATCGCCATTGTTCGTTTGTAAAGCGAACATTTCTCTTACAGATGACGGCGTATACAAACGTATTGTTTGTAATCGACGAAATCTATTCCGAGCGGCATTTCTCAACCTGATCGCTTGCATATGAGCTATCCTAATTAAATTTACTCTATGTTCGAATTCATTAATAACTTCAGACCTGGGAGAATCAGGATTCGAATTCTCAACAGGGGGAGAGGCTGTAGAAGGGCCCGCCACTGGTTCGTCACAAGGTTCAGGCCTACGACTAGCAGTGTTCGTTTTATTTCTTGTAGTTTTAGTTGCCCACGAACGCAACGCCGGTATTCTATAAGTTGACACTGGAGGTAAAACCCTTTTCTTCGTTAATGGATGAGCGATTGGATTGGTCCTATGTAATGCTTTTTGCCGTTTGCTTTCTATATATAAATCTCGTCTTGTTCTAGCAGTGATAGAGGTGTTTCTGTTCGCAGCAGCTATCTGTACTGCGAGACGATTGCTCCATCTTTGTATATTAGTGATATTTGAAGTGGACGGTTCACTATGTATTTCATTTTCTATTGGAGTTTGAGGAAGGGATACGTTTTCAGATTCGTTTTGACTATTAGCCAAACGTTCGTCTTCGGGATTTGGGATATGTGGTGGAGAAGACTCATCCGGCTCATCCACATTAACAGGACCAGGATGTTCAACATTTTCAATACGAACTACATTCATTGATTCTACACGTTGTGATGGATTATTTGCCCTGCTAACACCTCTGTTTGCCATCAACATCAGACCCGTGAGGGCCAAAGCTTTTTTTAATGTCCGTAACATATTTATAATGAGTTGACTAAGACCCCGTTCTTTTAGGCACATCATCATAGTTTTAAACATAACAGATAGTATTTGCATTGCCCGCATACGGATTTCAAGTCGAGTAGCACTAAATTCTATTGCACGTGCAAAATCTCTTCGTGATCTATTGGAATAACGGGGAGCCCATCGATTCGAAGAAGGGTTTCTTGAACGTCGCCGTATTTCATCTTCCGGTCGCCATCTATAACTAGATTGCAGTCTTCTTCGCAGAGAAGGCGAAGATCGTATTCCAGAGGATCTGGTTAGCGTAGATCTACCTCCATGCAACTGTCTAGATTCGTTATTATTTTCTGTTGAAGCGTTATTTTCACCTTCTGTTACCCCGGGACTGGCATTGGTTGTAGTCCCAGATTCATTTCGGTTTTCTACTACGGTTCTATCACTTTCTTCGTTTCTTTGATTTCTCGTTGGTCTATTGGTACGAGTTATATTATCTGACATTTCAATTAGCATCATGCATCGTTCAAGAAAAGACCTAGTATAGCTTGGCAAATCTTGTCTTCCCGTTTCTCTGTGCAGCGTTAGTATTCGTCTTCGTAAGTTTTCCCACATAGTCCTTAATTCTCTCATACTGACATGAGTACCACGTAACCAAATATTTGTAAGTTGCATAGTATGCCTTTGTAATGCACCAACACCGCCCCTTACCTTTCTATAAGCTTCTTCTGGCGGGATTGTACCACCTCTCGTCCAGGAATTATCACGACTAGTCGATGGTCTATCAGGATTAAAGTCAGAATTGTTTTGAGAATGAGTTTCTGCTGAATCTTGTGCTGTTGTAGATGTACTAGTAGATGGCTGTGGATCGTCAGTCGCAGAATTATTTTGAGTCCTAACACGGAATCTGCTATTTGACATTGACACATTGATACCATTTGTTTCACGAGGAGCCCCTTCATTGTGGGTTTCTTCACCAAGTTCAAAAACCATACGGTCTGTAGGTGTGGGTTGGGATACTCTGTCGTTGGTCGAAGCGCTGCTAGGTTGATCATCTTCTCTTGAATCATCCTCTCGAAAAGTTGAGTTTCTGGTTCTAAAAATATTAACTTCCAGTGATTGATCACTATCAGAATCTGAACTAGAAGAAAGGAAATCTCGACGGAGACTGGAACTAAAAAGTCTGACGCGAGGACGTATTCCTCTGGATCGGTTGGTGCCTTCACTATCATCAGAATGAGTCCGCGAGCCAGTCCCTCGCCGAGGTATATTACGTTCAACACTTGCCAGTGTTGATAACGACATGTTAGTTATCAGATTTAATAGACGTGTACCGGAATCCCTTAGTATGTCCCGAATTAAGTTTAGGCTTTCATTTATAGTTTGATTCATAGGAGCAGAAACAGGACTCATTTGTGTAGATGAATTAGTCATTGTAGGCCTATGGCTAGTCGTTCGTGAAGTTGACGGCAAATTTTCAAGTATCGAACTTGAAAGAATTGATAATGGGCGCGCGGTCGATGTTGAAGCTCCATCGTCATTAAGGTTTGAGGAATTATTAGGTCTATTCAAATTGGAAGTAATTTGTGACGGAGAAGAGTTTCTCCTACGCCTTGCGAAATCTCTACTCAAATTTTCTGGGCGAGACGAAGTAAAAATGCTAGTACGTGATGTATTCATATTAAAGTTTCTTGGCGAAATTCGTGGATTATCAGGAAAAGTATTTCTATTTGTTTGAGTAATGCCACTAGAAGACGAGAATGGATTAGGTAAAAGTCTAGTTGTGCGTTCACTTTGATCAACAGGTCTAAAAGATCTTCCTGAATCTGTCAACGGTTGAAATGCTGATGATCTGGAACCAAAAATGGAATGTTCTTGAGGAGGCCCTTCTTCATTCCTGAAAAAATGAGACATTGTGCTTTACTATTGATTACACACATTGTAAATATAAAAGTATTTTTTTTCGAAATACCTGTTTGGGTTACTATTAAATGACAAAACATCAAGATTAAGTAAGCGGCTACTGTTTCCTTCGCCATCTGTATTGTCACCTCCATCTTGACGATGGGAAGGTCCTGGAGTTGGACTTCCTGTTAACAAAAATATTTTACTTTATTATCGAATACATGTTTTTAATGCAATCCAAGATTACAAACATTTTTTTTTATTTTATAGTTTACTTCCAAAAGTGAAACTTCATATCTAAAATTAATTATTTATTATTTATTTATATAGCTATCTTTGGGTCAACTTACACACTTGACTGAAAAATAATAACTTCAATGGTCCCGTAAATTCAAAGCTTTGCTGTGATATATGGACGGACAGACAGAAAGAAAACAGAACTGATTTTTATACCCCAATGGGCACAGAATCCTAAAAGTTACTTAAACCCTACGTTATGATTAAAATCACAGTAGAAAACCTCGATCTAATGATGCCGTAGACGTGGATGATCGGGCCATACGTGTCCAGCTTGAAGTGCCAGAAGAAAAATCTGTTTCCATCGGATCCGTTCCTCTGTCAATCTAAAAAGAAATATCCGTCTAATTAAACACATACAGATAATTAAACTGTTATTAAAAATGGGTAATAGGTACCATGTTTGGTGGAGGTGGAATGCTGATCAGACGGTGGCGTACCATGAATAGACGTTGATAATTTCTGACTAAGCTGTCGTATCTCTGAACTAAGTTTTGGTACGAATTAACTATCATATCTTGAGCAGATCCAGAATTATCTTGAGGCCTATTGGTGTTACTAGGGCTTTCATCAAAATCATCTCTCCTATTATTATTAGTTGTATTAGGAGGACCCCAGGTACCATTTGGTTGAACGACCGTAGGAGGCCCACCACTAGGGCTAGACCAAAGTGATATTCCAGTTATAAGTTTATAACCAAGAGCATCAAATGCAACATAGCTGAAAAATAAATAAAACTTATTAAAACTTATATGGGTATTAAAAGAATGTCCGTCTTTTGTAATAGTGACTTACCGAACTTTCTCATTGATGTTGTTAGTAGAAACTTTATTAAAAGGAGCAGGTTGACTCCAATTCCAGAAATAAAGTTCATTATATGTTGCTATCACTAAAAGTTGCTCACGAGGGTGGAAGGCTATGGATGCTATCACTGTTTCATTTCTTACACTCCACACTTCACTACCGCTCTATAATTTGAAAATGTAGATATAAAGTATTAGTAGCCTAAAATTAAAGCCGAATTTAGTTGAAATTAGTTTCCTTCGTGCTATAGGCTAAGTGATGTTACATTAAATTGGCAACAGCGCCCTCTAGACAGTATAAAGTAAGAAACTAAAAATATTTAATAATTTCGTGTAGGGTATCAAATGAAAGGACTTAATTAGCACTTTTATAGTTTATATATGTATATTGATAGCTTTTGCTTAAATACACTCGAAAATTAATTAAATAAAAAATAATAACTTCAAAAACTAAAACCCGACTAAACCACGCTCTAAAAAGTTTGCAAAAAGAAATTTATTTTATAGCGATAGCTATATTATAATAGCGATTACCAAAGGACAACCTAGAATACTGTACCTATTTGATTATTATTTTATTTTGACCATATTGATTTGTATTCTAGCAAAAAAAGATCTTACCTTATCATTGCGACACAGTTTCACATGTACATGAAATTAGTTTTATGAAATTAATGATATTAGTTTTATAAAACTAATTTCATCATGCATGACACTTGGTTTCGTAATGTAGATTCAGATTTAAAGTACCAAAATAGTAAAGTAAAGTTTGTTTCTATAGAAAACGAATATAATACTCACACTAGAAATATCCCAAACTCTGACTTGTCCCCCAAGACAGCCAGAACCTATAAGTTGTGGGTGTGAGGGATGGAATGCAATACACCAAGGAGTCCGAGGGTGGCCTTTTAATATTCTTACGTGTTTGCCACTTGCAAGTTCAGATACATAAACATTGTGATTCCCATGAGTAGATGCCACTTTTGTCCTAAAAAGTTAATTTATTTATAAGCCATACTACCAGAAAACATGAAAAGTGTATTTCTAGTCTCAATGGAGTGTCGTTATAGTATGAGTATTATTATTGTGTGAGGATATTCAGGCTTAAGCCTATTTATTTTTCCTTTTGAGCAATCAAGTAAATATATGAGAATCAATTAGAAAAATAGTACCCACAACAAATAACGAAATAAAAGCCATAAGAACCATCACATTTTATTGCCCTTATTGTATTATTATACATAGTACATAGTTGAAAAAAAGAATCTGCTTAATTGATAAACACAACTGTATTATACATAAGCCTATTAATTTCTTCAGTGTTAGGGCAAAAACCTTCCAATTGGATGGAATATGTGTTGGTTGTCCATATGAAGTAAATAAATAAATAAATGCAGATTGGTCAGTGTTTACGACTATAGATGCAGTCAGGACCAACGGCTTACGGTCACCCATCCTATGAACAGCCATTACGAAAGTGGATCAAGCTTCTCATAATATAATAATTTCATTCCAATGTATGTTATTTTTATTAATGTTACTTATCTATGCTATTTAGTATTCTTATGTTTAATGCAACAAATCAGTACTGCGATACTGTAAAAATCTAAACCCGAATTCGAATTCACTTGTGTGTCTGACGTCATTAAGTGAAAATATTCTAATGATTCCATTTTTTTTTTATAAATATACAAAACAAAATGGATTGATTATTCGTGTCTCGAATATTCTATTCCTGTCATTTCATAACTCACTTCACTTATGCCACAAAACGTTATTACCAATTCAAGATTGAGCGGATGCCGCTTTTTGAAGTGAATTCAGACTCCTGAGTGAATTCGAATTCGGGTTTGGACTTTTACAGAAACGCAGGGCCCTTGTTTTATTATTATTTTATAATATAATAAACTCTACACCTGATTGAAATTATTTAGTACTAATATTACACTAAATCAGGTAAGTTTTTATGAGTTTTCTTTGAAATTTCATCATTTTTTATTTTACTACTATAGTATGAAAAATGTTCACAGTAAATTATACATATAACAATATTTGCTATAAGATATAAATCTACATTATACCTGCATTTTATTAGTAGCCAGTATTATAAGTCTTTGTGTTCAATATCACAATATATATATATATATATATATATATATATATATATATATATATGTGTGTAACCGTTTATATATTGTATGTGTATATTAAATTATATGTCTTCTGAGATGAACTGGCGAAACAAAATCCGACAAGCAAATTACTTCCTTTAATTTAATATTAACAGAATAAAGCTCGGTGGCGTAATGGATAAACGCCGCGGCCCGCGAACGTAGTCGTTAAGCAACTTTCGCAAAGGTCGGTCACGGGATGGGTGACAAAAAAATTATTATCTCGAGCTACTCCGTGCTTCGGAAGGCACGTTAAGCCGTTGGTCCCGGCTGCATTTGCAGTCGTTAATACCCTCCAATCCGCATTGGGCCAGCGTGGAGGGTCATGGCCCATCCTCCTTAACCATCCATAAGGAAGGCCTGAGCCCCTGCAGTGGGGACGTAAAAGGGCTAGTGATATGATGTGAATTGCATAAAAGTTACATTAAAAGGTTTGAAACGTCATAAAATCAAATAAATGCACTACACCCTTTCAAAATAGTTTTATTTAGTGAATAGTGCGCGTGAAAATACAAGAAATTAGTATAAAATAGATAAATTGAAATTAATTTTAGGTTTTAACTTTACTTTCAATTCACTACATAACCAAGATAACAGCAGTAAACTTATTTTATTACAGTACACGGGAGCACAATTATATTGATTTAATACAAACCTAAATTATCATATATTTTTACTTTAAGGCAGTACCATTGTTATAACACTATTATACAAAACATAAACAAGAATAATTTAATCATAATTACTGGATTTATTATCATTTATCAGTGAATACAGATTCCTCTATGTAAACTAGTAAAAATTATTTTAGTGAATATGCAATTAAAGAAAATACTTTTCAATATTCACTTACCCATCGGGACTGAATACCATTAGAAACGTTGATCTTGGATAACCCGGTAAGTCACAACACTAAAAAGAAAAAAGAAATAGTGAAAAATATATTTCAGCCAGGTACTCAAAAGACTGGTTGCTTAAGGATAGAAGACCTCAAGGAAGATAGATAGGTCATGATCATGAACACTGTTTTGGATGAATCAATTTCACACTTTTTTTTATAGGTCGGTAGAAAAATTCTTATCATAAATAATTAAGAATAAGAAATGTTAGCAGCATCAGCTTATAAAACTTTCTTTAGTTTGAAAAATGATAAAAATAATTACATATTATTAACTAGATATTAGGTGATAACCTAGAATAAAAGTTGTATTCATGAAAAAATTGTGTTCTTAAATTGATCATTGAGATGGCAGTTTAAAATTTTTTGGATAAACGGGTATAATAATAGGTTAGGGAAAAAATTAAAAAAAAAAATTATAAAAATTATTTACGTTGAACTAAAGTTTGTAGGTACCATTTTGTTCGATAACTCTTTGTCACCTTGCAGGTAAGATAAACATGATCCTATTGCTATAGAAATGTTGGGGCTTCTGATCAAAAATCCGCGACAAGTAATTTTGACAGACCTCACGTGATGTTAACCTGACATCCATAAAGAATTCTGAAGGGAAATAGTCAGAATTGTATGATGGATGTATTGCACTTTCCAGCCAAACTCTCTTAATTTTAGCTGAGTGGCAAAAGATGTGTGAAGTCTAGCATTACCATGATGAAAAACCAAACCACTTCTATCGATTAGTTCTGGCTGCTTTCTTTCAACTTCTTGCTTTAATCTCATCAGTTGTTCACAGTAGAGTTCAGAATCGATGGTCCTGGCTGGCAGCGACAACTCATAATTAATAATTCCCTTCCACTCCCACCATAAACACAGCAACACCATGTTGCAAGTTAATCCAGGTTTCGCCACAGCACGCACTTTATTGTTGTATGTGATTATTCAACTTCTTCAACTTCTTCAAAAATGGTTTGGCATCATTACATAATAAAGCATCACAAATGAGTATATGGTTCATCCAGTGAGCTTGCGTGGTACCTAAATATACAACTTTTTGTGTACCCAGCTTTTTCAAATGCACAAAAACTGTTTTGTGATCAACCCCCATTCTTCAGCTATTTCGTAACTATGCCAATTGTGCTCCACTTTTTTAAAATGGTATCCATTTTATCCGTAATAAGGTGACATCAAAGTTTCTGGATTGAAAACTCTTAAACAACAATTTGTGCTACTCTCACAGAAAGTGCACTAGGTCCATAAACATTGCAAATTATTTTTGTGGCTCGCATTGCATTTTTACCTTTTTTGTAATAAAATTTAAAAATGTATCAAACTTATTCATTAGATTCATTCATTTTGACAGTCTTCTTCTTCTTCTTCTTATATTAATGGCTTATCTGCACATTTCGCACAATTCTGCCAATGTCAAACAGCCAGAGAAACAAATGAAAATCACACATTTTCTTTATTTGAATTTGCAGTTATCTTCTTTAACATTCAAACCAGCCAGCTACAAATGGTATAGCTAAAAAGATTTTATTACAAATTTATGCATACTATATACTATGAGCTAATAAATGTTAAATACCTTTTTAAGAATTTATATTATAGATAATCTGAGGTTTAACTCTTGCCCATGTGATACCTATCACAAAGAATTGCTCTCCTGTTCCTAGGTGGATGGGAATGCCCAACCACCTAGCAACTAACAGTGAAATATAGAATCAAGTACACGAATTGATACTTTTGAGGTTAGTTGACATTTAATACATTATGGGAACTGTGTTACAGTAAGATTCATCTTTAATTTCAAGACTTCATCCTCAAATCAAATCTAATATTTTATTTATTATAATTAGTCATTTGAAAATATTGTAATTTATTAATAACTGTTTTAAGTATTGTTTATATGTTATTTTATTGTGAACAAATATATAATTTTGAACTGTATTAGATGTCTTTGATATGAAATAAATTTGATCATTTATAAAAGTAATCAATTATTTGACAATTAAATAATATCTTACTTTTATAAATGATCTTTGAAAATGCTACATTTCAACTTACTCTTATTTTAAGTGGTTTCCGAACAAGAATATCCTCAGCCATGTTCTCAAGCACTGTTTTGTTAGATGGAGTGTTGGGTTGATTAATCCCATACTCTCTCCACTGCCAACTTCGGACGATATTACTGACATTCTGAGCTTCATCAATTGGGTCATTCTTGTATCCGAGCCACTCATTGTCTATTACTGGATCCATTCTACTGAAAATATTTATGCAGTTGGAATTGAATTTTCAGATGTTAATAAGATCTAGATCGAATAAACATAATAAAATCAATGAAAATATGATAGGCCAAACATTTTTTAAATGAAAACAATAATGTTTACATCTAAGTTATATGCAAAATGCAGTTGCTTCCAATAATTTACTTCTGACTGCCTTTTCTTATTGT